ATTTTGATGCACCGCAATGCATAGTGGGACATTTTTAGTCCCACCATTTTGATGCACCGCAATGCATAGTGGGACATTTTTAGTCTCACCATTTTGATGCACCGCAATGCATAGTGGGACATTTTTAGTCCCACCATTTTGATGCACCGCAATGCATAGTGGGACATTTGTAAGTAGTGCCACCTCGAAATATTGCAATAGCTGCACGCGCTTAGGTTTATATTTCGTCTTGTTTACGTAAAGCAGTTGCTAATACCTTCGACAAATGTTATAAATGTATTCGCTTGTGTTGGCAACATTCAACATGCCAGTACAGGTTCATCAATTGTTGCAAGCGGAAGGATTATTGCGACAATCCTTTTTTCCTGGTTTTATGCTTTTACATTATGCGATTCTTTTATTAGTAAAAATATATACCAATTTGGTTTCATTTGAAACGCAATAAAATTTTTGCGCAACCTGGGTCTTTTTTATTACCTGAAATCCTGTGCCACAGAGTCAAATATTTTTAACGACTCGGTTTGGTTGAATCTACCTTTGGATGTCGTTCGATTGGCTACTATTACGTATATTTACGCTGTTAGAATGGTATATGGTTGTATTAACTGGTGATTTTCTTTGTTAAGCATGTAGAAGCACGTGTTTGGAACATAATCAGCTGATGATGCGTTTCGTCTGTACAGCAGGAACTGTTTACATGTTTCTGCAATTCCTGAGTACACACTGGGAATTCTCGCGTGCGTTCCTCGTAAGCAAAGGTAGCGTGGCTTTAAATTCCGTGATTACCTAATTTTATGGAAACACAGGAGCCATCCTCTTCCAAGAAAATTTGTAAACGCCTCTTTGAAGTTCGATATTTGTATTCGGTGTTAGTCGAATGTAAATATTTATTACTATCCATCCGTGTATTATTTAATTTTATGTAGAAGGTAATTTTAAAATTGCTTCAGGATTCTAGAGGATTATTTAATATTTGCGAATATTATTTCTAATATTAATAGTTCTTTCCATATTTATCGTATATTAATATTTCAAGAAAGAAACCCCTTTTATTACATATTTTATTAATGTAAGGTGTTGTTGATAGTCTTCAGCTGTGCTGTCACCTTATTATATTATTAAGAAAAATAGAAATTTGTTGCTCAAATATATACCACAATCCCTAAAATATAACGTTATTAAATTCCTTACAAGAAAAATTTCGTTGACACTAGAGGAACTCATTCGTGATATATACCTACCAATAACTACAATATGCATAGACCATAACAATTATTAATAATAATTACATTTCTATCTCAACAAAAATAAACAAATATATACAATTAAATTTCTATTTTAAGAAAAGCCAATTTTAACATTACCAATAATATCTATACCTTTCCAAAAACCTCCAAAACCAGTGCACAATGTCGTCACTTCCTCTACACGCTATAATCCGTCTAAGAATAAAAAGAATTATAAAATAATACAATTTTCTGACAACAGAAGTGCATATACATTAGTATCACCAATATGAACTTTAAAAAATCAATAATTTCATGAATTTCTCCACACGTGATCAAAATCTTCCTCGCTTACCCTCTAACTTCCATCTTCGACTCCCTTCTCAACTCTCTATTCCAATTCTCTCTCTCTCCCTTCGTTGGCACGAAGAATTCGACATCCGAAATGGATCATCGTGTATATCAGTTCACCAATGGACATCTGAGCCCCAGAAACGGTAGAAGGTAAACAAGCGTGGAAATTATTCCGCTATCGGTTCCGAGAACGCCTATGCAGACCGTTGGTCGCGAGAGGAAAGCCAGTCGGCGCGCCAGAGATGCCGATGCAGTGACAGAAAAGTCGAAGCTGGATCAGCCTGCTGCGATCATGCTGGCAGGTAGTGAGCTGTCGTTTGAGACAAAAGAAGAGCGGGTTTACGCGTTGTCCGGAATTCGCGACACCGAGCATTTACTCCGTTCCTCTGCGTGTTTCTTAGGGCAAGCGTGCTGGCTGCCAGCGCGCCGCTTCTCGCCTCTCACGTGTTGGCGCGCTTTAATGACATGCAATTTTGCAACGTAGCTCTCTGCCCGGAGTCCTTGGCGCTGGAAACTATATAAACGGACCGCTTATAATTGGCTAAGCTAGCTGGAAGATTTTTAACCGAAGCACACCATGTCGTTCCACACCGTCCTCGCGCTGGCTGTCTCGCTGTGCGCTGTCGTCGTCGTCGCCGGGGATTATCAGCTTCGTAAGTTCACGCCGTTTCGGGATCCTATGGATCTCTTCTTTTTCCAACTCTCACGCCTGGTTTTCGCTTAGACCCCGTGTTTGCCGTCTTTGACGGGGTAGTGGCGAAGACTGTGCGCGTGAGTGATGGTGGTTGAGGTATGACAGAGGCGGAGACATCTTGTGCTCTTTTGTTTGGCATCGTTTACGTGGCTTGCAAGGTTTTTGAGTGAATGGGTGGAGATGTTGAGGTATAATGACAGAGGAGGCACTTTGTGTTGTTTTATTTGGTATCATTAGGTGGCTTGGAAGGTTCTTGGGTGAATGGGTGGAGATGTAGGGGTATAATGACAGTGGAGACACTTTGTGCTGTTTTGCTTGGCATTACTTGGGTGAAGTTAGGTAACATGCAAAGTTTTTAGTCGAGTGAATGGAAAAAGACACTTGGTGTCCTTTTGCTTGGTGCTATTTGAGTGGTTTGGAAGGTTTTCAGGCTAATGGTTGGAGGTGGTTGAGGTATGAGAGTGGAGACACTTGGTGTCCTATTGTTTGGATGGTTTGGAAGGTTTTTGGGTGAATGGATGGAGGGGGTTGAGTTACTTTGCTTTTCCTTTGATTGGGATTAGTTAGATAGCATTGTAGACAGACAATGGATACGTTTTTGGGCTACTTATTTTGGCTACTAATTGTAAGAAGGCTAGTAGGAATATTTTTAAAGGGTGAGTGGGATAGGTGGGAATAAAATGGGGAGTTATGTGACTTCTATCTAATAGATTTTCTTCTATGTTATTTAATATAGAAAGAATACGCTTAAATTTCAGGTAGCTTCTTTGTTTGACGCGAGATAGGGTAAAATAAAATGTTTATTATATGGAATATGAAAACTGTTAAATTCTCAGGTTTTCCTAATTTTTATTACGGTATTAATTTAATACCTATCTTTTCAGACATTTTTGCTTCTGTTTGCTAAAGACAATCTACTTTCCCTCATTTTCTTGTATTTCCTTGTTTTTAAGTATCATAGAAGTAGTGCAGGATTTTCTGGAATCGAGTATGCAAAGGGTGATGTAAGAGGGTGCAAATACTATAATTTTTGAGATATTCTTTTTTCCATGATCTACGATTTTCTCTCTCTTCTTTTTAATTTTTAATAATATTTCTTCAAAATAAAATGACGAATTCAATTCGCACTAAAATTCGTGTAGTATAACATACAATAAACCAAGAATTACATTAAACAATTTTAAAAATAATCTTCCAATTACCTCATCTCTGAAAAATGTCTAAATTTTCCTATTACTTCCCAAAAAGATTACAACAATCTTCTGATGGTATCAAAGTCGTGTCTAACTCCTCAACATTCATATCAATAATAAACAAATACATAAATACAATAAAATCTTGTTACTATCAAATCTACCTAACGTGATTCAACTCGAAGTCATCGTTGCTCGCGATGATCGACAGACGAAGTACGGTCCCTTTTTCCACCACGGATCAGAAGTAAAAGTTTCCGCTATTAGTTTCGTAGAACCGAGTTAGAAAGCTGGCGAGGATTTCAACGTGCCAGCCAGTTAAATTTTAGCGAAATCTGGAAACCACCGTTCACTGTGTACACATTCATTTTCCCTCGTGAATCATCGCGCAACGCGAACTTATTTCCCATTATCACGGCTAATTTAACTCCCAGTTTTCTATCAGCGAATAACCCGTGTTTACTTTGCTCCATAGCTGAAACCGTGAAAACCTGCAACAGGGATTCCGATGATTTCTCATCGTGTTTGAGGCTCGCCATCCAAGAAGCATGGCCGACCTTCGTCAAAGGTAACATCGTCGTCGAAACTTAATATTTTATATTTGATGTATAAATTTAATAATAATTTATATTTAATATTTAATTTAATATTTAAACGAACTATTTATGGAATATTTAACTTTCTACTGGAATATTTAATATTATATTTAAATTCCGGATTCGTCCTTGCAGCAGCCATTTTTCCATTTCTTCCTTGTACCATATTAAAACGAGAAGGGTTGCACGAGTGTGCCTAATTGCAAAGACGAATCCAGGATTTTTAAATAAGAAAATGGCCGACTGAACGATTAATCGTGGATTTAAACAGCTCAGAATTTTGTTTGCCATAGTCACTCGACGATCTCAAGTATTATAGCAAGAGTTTATCCATTCACTTGGCAAAGGTTTTCTTTAAAAAAGTCCGAGTCTTCTTTACCCATTTTCGATATTTAATTTGCAATTAACACACTGCGTTCAATGACTATTTTTATTATCGCGCGAATATTAAAAATTCAGGTTCTTCGTGATCAGTTCACTATGCAATATTAATCGAGGGAATATAAATATTTTGAAAAATAAACATTTCGAATGACAAAGGGGTATCTTGGTCTATAATATTTAATTCCAAGTAAAAATTTGGAAATAAAGAATGATGTTATATTTCATTTTATAATTTGAGTTATGGTTAATGGTTAAGAGGTGTTTTTAGGGTGTTTTTGAAGCGAGATTAATTTTTGAAAATGTTGCAACAGGATTGCCGGATTTCGACATGCCCCCCTTGGACCCCTATTATACCGACTCCCATTCCATTGAACACGAAAGCGGCCAACTTCGTGGAAAAATTATAGCCACGGATGTTCGAACATACGGCCTTGCCAAAGCACGATTTTTGTCCGTGAAACCGGAAATGGCCGATGACTTCTTCCGGCTGGAAATTGACGTCGATATATCGAAGATATTAATCGATGGCGACTATAAAGCTGAGGGCTCTCTGGGTGCCTTTAAAATTGGTGGCAAAGGTAATTTAATTATAATCACAAAAATTCAAATTCTATTTTTTCCAACACTCAAATTTTTCTTTCCTTAACTTCTCAAGGACTGAATTAGTTAACAAAAATTGGCAGAAGGTTCTCGAATTATTTTATTATCTATGAAATAAATAATTGCGACGTTCGATGATCCATCGTAATCAAAATTGAAATAAAAGTGGATATTTCGGAAAATACGAATAATACTTCCGAATAAAAATGGAAGTATAGTTGACAAAACACGTAATCACATTGATATCGAAATTTCTATAAAATTTAAACGATAGAAAAATTGAAAATGGAAATTCAAATTTCTAAACCAACTTAAATATTATCTCCTTTATCTAATTTCCCAATTGTTTAAATTTCACATCATATATAAACTTCGCCATCACTCTGAGATCGAGGAAAGCCTCGAAAAATATATTTCCAAACATACAACAGTTAGAAAAGAAATATGCTACTTATTTATTATATCTTACCAAGTAATAACCCTTTGATTACAAAAATTAAAATTACAAAAAGTAAGATCACACAGTCACATGCACCTGCTATTGCACAACAAAGGATAAAACAGATGCTCGAAATGGAACTAAATTAATAAATTGATATCTTAAATTAAATAAAAATCGTAAATTTTAGCTAAACAAGTCACACAAAGATTTATTCTTAAAATTTTTCTGAAAAGGGTTCTTCAACGTCAGCTTGGAAGATGTGAGATGCACGTGGGACATCTCCGGCCATGTCGCGGACGACAGATGGGTCGTGGAGCACTTCAAAATGGTGCCCACGGTCGGGAACATGCGGATCTGGTTCAGCGATCTCTTCAACGGCAACGAAGACCTAAGTAAGTGCATGAAATCATCCAGCTGCGATTAACCACTTGCGCTATAAACTATTGCGCGAGATGCTTTTGTTCCAAAGCCGTCAGCGACGTGTATACCACGTCGATAGGCATTTATCGCAGAAACAAAAACGACGTGTCCGTCACGTTGGCTAATATTTAGCTCGCAGATGCGGTGCGGTGTCAATGTAACGCCTTACCGCATGTTATATTGTAGTTAAAGTTAAAGTTAAATCGTAAAGTTAGAAAGTTAAATCGTAACGCAAGTGGTTAAAAGGAGTGACTAGACCGACTTCGTAACTAACGATCGATCTCGTAACTTCGTAATCGTATCACTGGACGATAATCGGGGAAGCTGGTGTCAATGATATAATCGACGCAAACGATTACTATAAAAAGCGTCGTGACATAATACGAGTACAGGGAACACGTGTAATTCGCTGTTTGCTTTACGATAACTGCCAATTTCAGGCAGAGACTTTCATCAGCTGAACGACGTTGTCTCGACATTCCGTCATTGCATAACGTTGACACGAGCACATGCACACACAGGTACTCGGGTTTCAAGAGAATCCTGTGCCGCTTAATTAGCATGCAATCGCTATGTCTTGCTGTTATTTGCTGCTTACCCTCGTATTTTTGTCCCCGACTACGTCGTTTGCTTTTTCTCTCGTGATATCAGCGGCCTATTACGTGATCTTTGGCCTCAGACGATCCTAAACCTTGTGTTCCTCGATGTAATAATTCTTGTTTTTGATTAGGTTAGGTGCTTCGCTGTTTCCCATTCGTGGAAGTTGTCTTAGCGAGAGATTTAAACGGGATTTAAGTGTTTCATAGATTGATTCGAGTCGAAATTTTCAGAGAATCCTTTATCACTTGATGTTACCTCTAGCCTTGTGTCACTTGATAGTTAAATGGAGTGTCTTGACATGATATAGCATTTATACAATTTTTAAAAATCCGTGACGAATTTATTATCAATGTTATGTCTCTTTGGTCTAAAGGAGTTATAGATCTTTCAAAAATAAGCGAAGAATTTAATATTATTGACATTTTCTTGAAAGAAGGCCGAAGAAAGAAGAAAATAAATTTAACGAAGAGGAAAAATAGGAAGATAGATATGCCAAAACGAAATTGCATTATTATTGACATTTTCTTGAAAGAAGGTTGAAGAAGGAGGAAAATAAATTTAACGAAGAGGAAAAATAGGAAGAAAGATATGCCAAAACGAAATTGCATTGTTTCAGTGTGTCATAGTATGAAAGAGAATCAAGAAATTTTGATAAGTCTGATAATATAAAAAATATTCAATTTGTTGTTGATGTCTTCGGTTAAAAAGAAAAAGGGCAGGAAAAGGAAGATGCAAATTGGGAAAAGGAAATAGAAAGATAGGATCGGGAATGTGGGATAGTGCTCTCCTAGAAGGAATATACAAGTGGTTTGGCTAGGTATATGAAAGATGCATTAAACTATTATAAAAATAGTATAATGAGCGTTTTTGCTAGGTTTTCTGAAAACAAGTTTCTTAGCTCATTGTTCGGATTGCATCTACGTGTCGGTCCAGCATGATTTATTTAACTGATAGTTGTTATTATCGTCTGGTTGTATATTTGAATAAATTTTTATTCATTATTTTTCGTTTGACAGCGATAAATGTTAATAAATGTTAAGTAATATCCTTCTCGAATAGAGAAGGCATTAGATCATTCTTCTTTCTGTAGTTACTGTTGGTTTAGGAATACGGTGAATGGACAATACCTCACGTCGGTTAATCTCTAATTTATGAAAATCAGCGGCACCTCTCGTCGCGTTAAACATTTATAAAAGGAATTTAATGATCTTTGGTCGTAAAACCATCGTTGGAGATGTAAAATATAGGACAATTGTTTTAGATATCGTGGAAAATTTTATCCTGATGAGGAATACAAGTTTTCCAGAACAAATATGGATAAAAAAATATTCTATAGTTCCTATAATATTGGAATACGAAAATATAGAAATCCCAAAGTAACAATATACCAAAAACATTGAAGTACCATACGATAGGTCCTATATCTATAGGGCGATAGCTATAAAATATCAAAATACCAAAATACCGAAGTACAAAAATACAGAAATACCAAAATGCAGGCGTACCAAAATACAGAAGTACAAAACTACAGAAAAATCAAAATACCGAAGTACAAAACTGCAGAAATACCAAAATACAGACGTAGACAAATACAGAAATACCAAAATACAGGAGTACCAAAATACAGAAATATCAAAATACAGACGTACCAAAATACAGAAATACCAAAATACAGGCGTACCAAAGTACAGAAATACCAAAATACAGGCGTACCAAAATACAGAAATACCGAAATACTGAAGTACAAAAATACAGAAATACCAAAATACCGAGGTATCAAACTACAGAAATAGCCAAATACTATAGTATCTAAATACTAAAATACCAAAATATAAAAGTACCAAAATACCAAACTATTAAAATATTAAATTTCTTCTTCCAGATCACGCTGCACTGGTCTTCATCAACGAATATTGGCCCCTGGTATACCGGGGAATGTTACCAAAGATGATGAATACCTGGGACGAGTACCTAACCGAATTCACCAATCGTTTCTTCTCGAAGATACCCTTCTCCACAGTGTTTCCATGAAACACGATGCTAGTAATAAAATAATCACAAAAGAACAAAAAAAAAAAAAGAAATGAATGAAAGAACGAAGTGGAAAGGAGTTCGACAGATGTCGCGACAGAGCTGAGACAAAATGGCGTCGGAAGAAGGGACGAAGAAATGGCTGAATGACACTGCTCAACCCAATTCTATGGACTCTAGGGACATTTTGTACAATTCATCCGACATTCGAGTGATCTTCGAGTACTTACTCTTCAAGTACCGAGGATATAGTTGCTGGTAAAGAAGAGTTTATGCAAACTGTTGATTGTTTATTGTTATTGAATGAAGCCTCAATGATGTAAATAAACGTGAAACCAATGCCAAATGTTAATTCGATTCTAATTAATCACATAATCATCGTTGATTATCGAAATGCATGCCGGTAACACATTAATCTCGTGAAGAACCTAGTGACATTTTAGGTCAATTCCGAATTTTTCGAACTAGCGTATCTAATATGCAAACTGCATGCAAATTAGCTGGAAACATATTCGCGTGTCGCAACCACGGAGATCTCATAATCGAACGATTGCATTTTACGATACAAGACGAACTGTCTTTCGCAATTCTCGTCGCATGAGCGATCGTTGCGTCGAATAGCATCGTCGAGGAGTAAATGGTCAACTAAATAACAAATCTATAATTTTACAAATATATACATATACATATATTTTTCTCTTTTTTCAAAATCCCTAGAGTAAACTCAACCATTATTACAGTTATTTGCTGTGAAACTAAGTAACGTAAAAATACTGAACTTTTATCTATCTTATCCTAACCCAGGTTACGATTCATTATCGCATAGTAATTCTATGTACATACATATAACGTACTAATTCGAACACGTACTAATTCGTGTCTGTTTCCTGTTTCTTACTCGTTCTTCTTTCTTTTCCTTTTCGTATTTCCAAGGGAAAAATAAGAAATTCAAGGCAGCAGGTAGACTTCTACTGGCACGTGACGTAACAATTGATTGACGATCCCAGCGAAGAGTACAGAGAGCTTCCTCTTCAGCTGTGGTTCCATCACTTTCAACACTTCCTGTCCGTTTTCGCGTAGGAACAGGTTGGTTGCCTCGGCTGTGACAATAAAATCGTACAAATTACAGCTTTGACAGTGTCATTCTTTATCAGGGTTAATTATTATTAAATTAAATTATTATTTACGTAATTATGTTTCGCATCAGCAGTGATATATATTTTCAATTATTGGTAGAATAATTTCATTGTCTACTTACTAAGGATTCGATTGTTATTAAAAATCTTGCGGACCCTCATCTGCACGTTCTTCACATCCAGGACAACGTCAAGGTTCTCCACGTTGAGGTACGTCTTTCCATCCCTCACGTTCGTGGAAACGGTACCTTTAACTAGAGCCTTGACATCGTCGAATCGCGCGTGGAAGGTACCATTTCCACTGGCAGGTAGGATAATTAGCACCCCTGAACTGACATATTAAAATTATATTAATTACAACAGTAAAAATGAATAATGATTAAATAATGATATTAAAATTAATTTGGAAGAATATTATTACTATTATTAATAGTAATAATTTACTACCCCATTTATGGTGACATTTTAAGGATGAATATTTCTTTTGTTTATTCATTGTTCGAATATTCAGTTCGATTTTTTGTTTTTCCATTAAGATATTCTTTTTTTATTAATGTAGCGTAAGTTCATGTAGTATAATGGGAGAAGAAGTCAATAAAGCAAACCGTTAGAGAGCAGAATCTAAATAGAGCAGAAACATTTGCAAATCGTGAACCTGGAATAATGCGCGTCCAAGATGAGGGCTGGCATTCGTACAATGGCTTCGAAGGGTGAGCCGAGTTTAATGTCCTCCACGGTATAGTTGCTTGCTCCCCTTACGAACAGTTCACGCAGTTGGACCTTGTAACCGTTTGTACCACCTGTCAGGGAGAGAGTCAGCTCGTCCATCTGTTGGAATAAGCGAAGTCGTGGCAAATACGTGGGATAATCAGGAGCATAACGGGTCGATATTGAAATTTGCTATGCTTCTTGCCATTTTTAGAATTTTCCGACAGTGGGAATTTGGATTTACACGAATTCAGAGCGAAATTTATGGGATCTTCGCGTCCTCTGATTTTATTCTGAATTGGAGTGAACAGGGTACCCTCTTACGATATTCATAATAAAAATTGAGAAATTTTGTGAACGTTAAGTTAACTTTGGAATAGCAATATTTTATCACTGAAAATTGGGAACTGAATCAATAAATTTTGGGGGACTTTTAGGTCTTCTGATTTTATTTTAAATTGGGGTGAGTAGGGTACCCTATTATAATATCTATAATCAAAATTGAGAAGTTCTGAGGAAGTTAACTTAAATTTGGAATAGAAATATTTTATCACTGAAAATTGAGATCCAAATTAATAAATTTTGGGGAATTTTCAGGTCTTCTAATTTTATTTTAAATTGGGTTGAGTAAGGTACCCTATTATAATATAATATTTACAATAAAAAGTTGAGAAGTTCTGAAAGTTAATTTAATTCTGGAATAGAAATATTTTATCACTGAAAATTCAGATCTAAAGCAATTTATAATTAAATATTTTGTAATCTTTGTGTCTTTTAATTTCATTTTAAATTATCATCTTAAATTGCGTACTCCTATCAAATATGAAAACTTTATAATTTTAATTATACCTAAATTAGAGTTTACTTCCAGTGATTAATCTTTCAGTTAAACACCAATTTTATTAATTATAAAATTATACAACTTTGAAAATCATCTTAATGTCTTTGAGATAGAAGTATTTATGTAACCTGAGTTAAGAAACTCTGTGAAAAATTCTGTTAATGTGACAGGAAACTTCAACTTTCAATGTATCGGGAGGATATCGAAAGAGGCGGTTCTTACGCGAAACGGTTCGACGGAAGGCAGCTCGATTTCCGGTATCCCGACGCTCAAGTACGGTCTCAGATGGTGCAGTGCATTGATCAAGCATGATTTCAGCTTCGGATCGCTTCTCGAACACTGTTTGACATACTCAGCTGTAATTGCAGAGATATTTATTCAATAAATAAACACGACTTATAATTACCACAAGCTAAATATTATTCTTCAAACAAAAATTAAAAATTCTACTTATTTAATTTCTCATTTTTAGAACACTTGCTATCCAACACTATAACTGACTAACTATAAAATATAATTTCGATAAATGACAATAATTAAAATAACATTTCTCCGATATTTTCTTCCAATTTATATCACTTTCCAAATATTCCCAGTAATTATAAAAATAAAATATCGGAAACCAGGCATTTTTTATACCTTTCTAACAATTAAACAGGTTCCAATATTAACAATGTATATTCAATAATTATCGAATAGACCTCGATTTATTATTTTTATCCTTACATTCTCTCTTTGCAACAATCTCACATCTCACAACGACTACGCTCGAACTTCGTCATCGAGGAGGGAAAAACAGGAAAAAAATAACAAAAAACCATTTCCACCTGAAAACCAATCATTAACCAGAGGATAATAATCCTCGATCACAGATGGAAATAAGCGGAAACGACACGTTGGTCGCGCGAGAAGTCAGTTGCCAGACAGCTTGTCACTTCTAACCACACATTGTGAAATTCACATGAAGTTTCTGAGGGATACTTGCACGACTGACCCCTTTACCTCGCATAACGCATTTATGTAACATTTCCTTCCACCGTTCTAAACCCAGCAAAAATCCCGCTCCACCTATCCACTTCTCCCTGACCCAAACCGAACAACGGGAACAGATCCCTGTTCATCCCTCCATCCCTCTAACCCTTCACTCATCCACCCCCAACATGGCACAAAGACAAACTCAAACAGGACACGGATACTATCCAAAAGAAGTCCGGGTTCTACGAGCAACATCCTCTACCTTCTTATCAGACTTTCACTCGCTTTCCTGCCAACTTGACTCTGATCGGCCTGGGCCCAGCAGGAAGCGATCTCGTAAGAGGTCCAGCAGCGGAAAAATCCGAATTACTCACGATTCGAGTCAGCCGAGAGAACAGTAGCAATGGTCGCAGCTACCAAGAGACAGAAGGTCGAGGTGATCATCGCGTCAGCCTGGTCCAAAGCGAAATTCAGAGGATAAAGGCTCCGTGGGCTCCAGGAGTGGCTGGTCTGGATTGCTCGATGGCTCGGATTCACCTGGTGGATTTGGATCCGCTGGTTTCAGCACTAGTTGACAGGCACCGACACTTTCGACAAGCGAGCTCGAAATCCCGGGTCCCGGCTAAACGGCACCGCTAGACTTACACTGACTATGCAAGAGGGCATTGACAGATGCCAGATCGTAACTGCACTCGGATACTTTCACTGCTGCAACGTGCACCTGCGCCTTCTTCGTCTGGGACGACAGACGAGTCTCTAGGCTAGACCATGTTAGACCTGGTCGAAAGTATACCCTAGATACTCTTCCATCTTTTCCAATCTTGCCGCGCTCTCGCGCTGGAAAGCTGCTGCCTGGAATGCTCCATGGCGAACTGCTCTCGCCCCTCTTACCTGCGCCTCGCAATCGCGCTTGACATCGAGAAATTCTTTTTTTTTTTTTCGTTATGTACGTGTCGATGAGATTTGTATCTGTGAGTGTTGGAGGTGTTCGATGGTTTGCAGAATACTTTCGGAAATTTTTATTTTTATTTGACCGTTCCACTCGATTCCTCGTGGCTATGATTTAAAGTGAAAGGACTTGGTTACAGAAGGAGTTTTAATTTAACATCGAGGAAGGTATGGGATTTTTTGCAATTTTGATTTGTGTGGTAAAAAGGAAGAGTAAGTTTAATAGTTTTAAAAGAGAAAAATATTTTCTTCCCTCGACGAAGAATTTTTATGGTCGACTAAATCGAAATATAATTGCTGTATTCAACATTTTTGACAAATCAGTTGGTTTGTATTAATTTATAATTGCGATTATAGTTTTATATATATAGTTATAATTTTTTGGTAGACTGAACGCTAGGTATGGATTCATGAAAGTATCGGAATTATAAAGATGCCAGTGACGTTTCATACACCTTGGCTGTGCAATAAAGTAAATTTACGTTCAATTTCACTCGTGTTGTGATATACAATGTAGGTAAAGGAATATTTGAAGAGAATAAAAATATATACACACCTCTTAATTTAAAACAATACGATTAAAATATGTAATATTTTCGGATAAATTTAAGAAAATGTTATTAAAGATATTTTTATTTTTTTATTAATATACAATTCTACATTCTATGTTTTTTAAATCGTTTATGAATGTTTTCACTTTTCACACGATTGTTCGTATGGTTATCTCTAAACAGGCGCAAAGTAATTTAAAATCAGCTCGCCTTGGAGAACAATTCGATCGAAAATGATTATTTCAACATTTGTAAAATGAATTTATAATAATTTCTTTTATCTACAATGCTGGGAACATTAATTATTTCTCTCATAAATCCTATAATAAATATTTAGAATATTTGAAATTATTAAATTACTTTTTTAAAACATACATTAATTCTTTTCTGTTTGTTCTTTTTTATTTTTTATTTCTTTTTGTCACAGTTTTAACTCACGTTTGCGAGATATTCGTAAGAACATTATCAAAATGTGCTATTGTATAATTCTAATATATTACATAAGAAACTTTCGCTTACCAAATAGGTTACGTATAGAATTAGTAGAGTATAGACTTATATTAGAACATTATAATTAATTCGAAAGCGATGGACTTCAAAAATTTAATAAATATCCCATCAAAACTGCGAATAAAGTCGCAACGAAGAAAGATTACGCAGAAATTGGAGAAATAAATAAAGCGATGTTAAACAAAATACGAAGTGTCGTTTTGAAAAGAATTAAAACTAGCACGAAGGCAATTTAAATTCCATTAATACTCGTTGTCGAGGAAAAATAATAAGTCCAGGTAGATTTCTTCGAATTTCTTCTTTTTTTACGTAATTGCCAGATTTCTCCTGATAGCCGTTATTTTTCTTAATCCTGTCTCCAGAATAGAAAGGTAAAGATACGTATACATGAGACGAACTGTAACGTGTTAAAAAACATATATCTTTCCATATAAATTACGTAAACACTCGGGTGTTGCATATTTGCAAAAATAAGGCTACGGTGATAAAAGTAGGAAGCGTTTCGTTAATGAAGTACTCGAGTAAGAAGACGTTACTTAAATCAGTTATTCAACGAAATACATCTGAAAATGTTCCATAACCAGTAAGAGGAGAAATCGAGATATATATATATATTCATTGAAAAATAATAAATATTATTTTTCACTTTTATTCTCATTTTTAAGTGACGATAATTTTCGAAATTTATTTAAACCTTTCTGAAAACAAATATATTTCTTCACATGAAAGATAAGGCAAGAAGATGAAGTAAAATATTTAGATAAATTAAAAATATTTTTAACATTCTCGATTTTTATTGCAATTTTAATTCTAATTAATTCTCGTTATTTTTACGTCTCAATATTTTTAAATATATACGAGGTTTTGTTATTATACAATACGAGGACAGAAATTTCTCATTTTTGAGTGACGATAATTTTCGAAAATTATTGAAACCTTTCTGAAAACAAATATATTTCTTCGTATGAAAGATAAGACAAGAAGATGAAGTAAAATATTTAGATAAATTAAAAATATCTTTAACATTCTCGATTTTTATTGTAATTTTAATTCTAATTAATTCTCGTTATCTTTACGAGTAAATTTTTTAAAATATATATGAGGTTTGGTTATTATACGATACAAAGAGGACAGAAATTAAATGTTTAGAGAAAATCCTACATCAATTTGTATAATTGAGAAGATTATCTTTTCTTCAATTGCAAACGATCTTTGCAAATTTTTTCCTCATTTCACGCACGTTTTTGGATACAAATTGCTACTCCTTTGTATCACGTCCTACCGTGACTAGCATTCGCAATCAGTTCCACTGAACCTTGTTTCGGTCAAGTGCACTCCCTGCACTTTCAAATTCTATTCCTTTCAAAACGAAGCTTCTCAAAAAAGTTTTCCTCGCTGCTTTCCTGCTGTAACAAAACAAATCAGTCTATTAATAATCTATTCGACCATCGTCAAATAAAAACTTCCAGGACTCCACATCAAAACATAATTCCTTCCTGAACGACTCAATTATTCCACATCCTCATTCTTAACAATAAAACTCACATAAAGACTTTTAAAATCCTTCACTCCACATCTTCTCCAACGTCAACCATAAAAATTCCACCGAATTTAAACGACCTTACCTAACTTCACCTTCACTAATGAAGATGAAAGGAGCAAATGAAACTAATTCACAAAGAAACTCGTAAATATTTTAATTCGGAGTCACAGATAAGCCTGATGATCAGGTTTGACCTTAAACACAGATTGAAAGAAAAGATATTACTATTTTTCCTTCTTTCAAATAAATATTCTAATATTTAAATATTCCCCATGATAAAACCCTGTCTATAATTTAAAAATCCTGTTACGGGTATAAATTATGTTACGTTATCTAAACTTCATCCCTTTTTCAGCAACCTATTCAGTATTACAAACAAAGAGCTATATAAAGACCTTCAAATTTTTCACTCTACACCTTCTCCAACGTTAATGATAAAAATTTTACCGAACTTAATCCGCTCTTTTCACCAATGAAGGTGAAAGAAGCGAATCAAGCTACTTTATAAAGAAATTCATAAACATTTTTATTCGTAGTCATAAATAACCCTGATTATCAGATTGGACATTAAGCAGAAAATGAAAGGAAAGATATTTCTATTTTTCCCTCTTGCAAATAAATCTTCTAACATTTAAATATTCCCCATGATGAAATCCTGCGTATCAAAATATCCTTGTTATAAAAATATCAAAATATTCCTTGTTATGAATACAAAGCATTATCTAAACCTCATTCCTTCTGTTTCAACCTACTCACAAAATTTTTCCTCCATTTTTTCCTCCACTTTTTCCTCTTCCAAATAAATCTTCTATTTAAATATTCCCCACTACGAAACCCTGTTTACGATTAAAAAATTCCCTGCTATGAATACCAAGCTTTACTCAAACCTCGTCCCTTCTCTTTCAACCAACTCAATAAAACCTTTCTCAAATTTTTCCTTCCATTTTTTCCTCCATTTTTCCTTCTTCCAAACAAACCCTCTAATATTTAAGTATTCCCCACTACAAAACCCTGTTTACGATTAAAAAATTCCCTGCTATGAATACAAAGCTTTATTCAAACTTCGTCCCTTCTCTTCCAACCAATTCACTAAAATCTTTCCAAAATTTTTCCTTCCATTTTTTCCTCCATTTTTCCTTCTTCCAAACAAGCCCTCTAATATTTAAATATTTCCCACGACGAAATCCTGTCTTCGATCAAAAAATTCCCCGTCACGAGTACAAAAGCGTTATCCAAACTTCGTCCTTTCTCTTGCAACCTTCTCAGCATTCCAAACAAAAACACTCGACACCCATGTACACACATAAACTCGCTATTGCACCCAGAACAAACATCCATTCCCAGCCGCATTGAAATCCGGTTCACTCCTCTCCATTTTCGCGGGCACTCAACGATAACGAAAATCCTTCGGGAAACAACGACTACCTTGTTGAGCGTGTGTCGAACGGAGAACGAGGAAATACGCGTTGTCCAGGTGACGAAGAAAAAGAGAAGCAGAAAAGATCGGTGAAAAATATCGGAGTTGGAGGTCGTTTTGTCTGCCTCCGGTTTCTTCCGGCGAACGAGAAGGTGATCTCTCCCGGGTGCTTGGACTTACGTAAGGTCGTCCGAAAATCCTGACACAGGAACGCAACACGGCAAACCCTCCTCTCAGATGTACAGTCGAGAGTGAAAGCGTGAGCATCGACGGCGTGCTGGTTTGCTGGCAGGAATTGCGCTCCTCGTGCGTTTCGTCGCGATCGTGTTCGCCTACGCGAAGTTATCGATCGTCGAGATGTCCATCCGGATTTCCATCACGTTGCTGGTCCTCTTCGCAGTGTCCTCGATCGCCGAAGAGTTTGGTAAGCCACACATCTCTGCAAGATTCCGCGTTTCGGGCCTGTGAGCTTTCGTTTCGTGGCAGGCTAGAGGTGGCACAGTGCTGGGCGAGTGGTACGTCGTTGGTACGGGAATGTAGGTAGACTGGTAGGTTGATAAGTGGGTTGGTAGGTGGTCAGCTGTTTGAAAACGTAGCGTGGAAGATTTGAGGCTGATTTGTGCCAGGGATGAATAGAATTTTTGTCTGAGCGATGGAGACATGTCTGTGGTTCATGGGGATGTTGACTGGGGATGAAGTGTGATATCTGGGGGCGAGGTTGGTGTTGAAGGGAACGAGTAGATTGTTGTTGACGAAGAGATGAATCCCAAAATCGGTTTTCAGATCTCGGAACTTGGAACACAGGAATGGTTGATGTTGCTTAAAAGGAAGTGATCTTATTGGTCATAGGGATAGTAAAATGAGAAATGTTGATACGTGGATGAAAAGTTAGAGGAATAATTGTAATTTAGGAATGTGGTCGATGTTGAAAATAAGCGAGTAAAATTTTTGACAAAGAAATGAATTTAAAAATCAGTACTCAGATCTTGAAACTTGGAACACAGGAATGGTTGATGTTGCTTAAAAGGAAGTGATCTTATTGGTCATAGGGATAGTAAAATGAGAAATGTTGATACGTGGATGAAAAGTTGGAGGAATAATTGTGACTTAGGAATGTGGTCGATGTTGAAAATAAGCGAGTAAAATTTTTGACGAAGAAATGAATCTAGCCCTCGGTACTCAGATCTCGGAACTCGAAATACAGAAATTGATGACGTTGTTTGAGAGGAAGTGTTCCTATTGATCATAGGAATAGTAAAATAGGGAATGTCGATATGTTGATACAAGGTTGATGGAATGATTGTGGTTTAGGAATGTGGTTGACGTTGAAATGAGCGAGTAAAATTCTTGACGAAGAAATGAATTTAGAACTCGGTACTCAAATCTTGGAACTCGAAACACAGAAATTGTTGGAGTTGCTTGAGAGGAAGTGATCCTATTGATCACAAGGATAGTACAATGAAAAATGTTGATATATGGGTAAAAAGTTGATGGAATGATTGTGATTTAGGAATATTGTTGACAAAGAGATGAATTCCAAAATCGGTTCTCAGATCTCAGAATTAGAAACACAAGAATGGTTGATGTTGCTTGAGAGGAAGTGATCCTATTGATCATAGGAATAGTAAAGTAGGGAATGTCGATATGTTGATAAAATGTTGATGGAATGTTTGTGGTTTAGGAATGTGGTTGATATTGAAATGAGCGAACTTCTTATACAACTTCTTTTCTTATTTAAATATTGGGTGGATGTTGGGACACTTGGTAGGATGTCGTTGAGTAATGTGAATAGTAGCATGTGAAATGTCATGTTGCGAAGAAACAGTTACTGGAGTGATTGTGACTTGAGAACGTGGTTGATGTTGAAATGAATAAGTAGAATTCTTCTTTTTTATTTAAAAAATGGATTGACATTGAGACAGTGTTGGGTGAATAAGGTGTTGAATAGCAGTATATAGAATGTCATGTGTGAAGAAAGAATTACTGGAGTGATTGTGATTTAAGCATGTGGTTGATGTTGAAATAAGCAAATAGAATTTTTTCTTTTAATTTAAAAATTGAATTCAGGTTGAAATAGTGTTAGGTGAACAGTGTTAGGTCAATACTCTATGAGTATTGACTAAAATACTGTCAATTTGATATGGACAAAAGATTAGTGGAATGTTTCTAATTTGAGGATCGATAGAATACTAATGATTCATAGGTTGAAAATGCTGCTAACTGGTGGACGAATGTGAGCAAAGTGTTTCTTATTCAGAGATGGAGTAGACGTTGATCTTGTTGATATGAATAACTGAATGACTCAAATGCAATTAGGTCGAATAAGTGAATAAATAATAAATAAATAATAATAAATAAATAGTCAATGTGAGAGCATATGGTTAATCGTGATATTAGTTCATGGAGAAACGAGAAGAACATAGTTACCTCGAAGGTTCCTCTAAATATGCAAATTTCATTCACATGGTTAAAAATGCCTGTGAAATAAATAACATAATCGCGACTAAAAAATATTTTTAACATTAAATTTAATATCCTAAATTAACGATTACACTAAAATATTAATATACAATATAAAATGCAGTAAATAAATAATTAAGTAGCATTTCAGTGCAAGAATAATTTCTAAATTAAATATATACCCCGATGAGTATATATTAATAAATTTCTACAATTATAATGGACTTGTACAGAATAATAATATATATGACTAAAAATCGGAAATTTCGTTTAAATAAAATCTCATCATATAGAATCGTATGTCTCGACCACGAAGTCGCTTAAGAATTTAGATCAACGACAAAGATCACATGCAACGTGACTGCAACAGGTTTGCACGTGTGACGCGATTCTATCGATCCCTCAAACTCGTTGTACAAGTGTCTGGGTACTCGGTGACGATTTTCTTCCATGTGACCTCGAAATTCGCGAATACGTAGTCCTATAGTGATTCGTAAACGCATATGCAGTATAAATAACCTTCGAAGAACTATAAATAACAAATTACCTTTACACCAGAGTTTTTACTCATCGAGGTTACAATACTGTTGCAGAAATCCTTCATAGTAAATTTCCTAGGAAAACATTAGTATCAATTTGTTATTTCAGTAAAATGGATAGAGATATATAGTTTTATCTATGAATTATAGTCAGTGAGATTCATTTACTGACATTTACATTCTCCATCCGGGAATGTGTTACTCGTGGTTATTAATTACTAGTTGATCAGTTCTCGTAGTTGCATATGCTACAAAGAAACGCAATATTGTAAGATATCGATGGGAAATATGATACACAAATGAGACAGGCAGTTGCTTATTTAAATTCACTGTGCTAATTAGTTAATACGCTTTTTATCGTATCCCTGAAGAACAAAGTTTCACGATAAAAAGTATGTATACAGAAGGATAGATCTATACATAAATATTTATGCGAAGCTGCTATTCATTGTATGAATTTTTTAACGAAGAAATATTAAATTTCCAATATATTATCACGAATTTTCACTAAATTAAATTAATTATTTTTCTAAATTACGTTGGAAATAATTAAACGAATTATTTTCTTTAAAAGATATATTAAATTTTTGGTATTCTATACCACTTTTCACCGAATTTAAGGTTAATATATTAAACAAATTATTTTCATTGAAAAGGAAACTTCAGTCATGTTATTTTTCGCACTACGAATTTTCTAACGAAGAAACATTTAATTTCCAATATTTTATCACGAATTTTCACTAAATTGAGTTAATTATTTCTCTAAATTACGTTAGAAATAATTACACGAATTATTTTCGTTAAAAGATATATTAAATTTTTGCTATTCCACACCACTTTTCATCGAATTTAGAAATATTAAATTTTTGCTAAACTTAATTATATTTTTCTTAAATTTAATTCAACATATTTCTACTAAAACAGAAAATTATTGCTATCGAGAAGAAGGTTTCGATTTTTACTCGCATTTAAGATTAATATATTAAAAAAATTGTTATCATCGAAAAGGAAGTTCCAGTCATGTTATTCTTCGCACTATGAATATTTTAACGAAGAAATACTACATTTTTGCTATTCTCAATCATCTTTTTCCTAAATTTAATTCAACATATCTCTACTAAAAAGGCGAAATTATTGCCATCGAGAAGAAAGTTTCGATTCTTATTCAAAAAAATAAAGAAACAAAAAGGTAGGAATAGACAATCGGTCAATGTTATACAGTAACACACGAAAAGAGAAAGGAAAGAAGATGGAATCCATGTTTTCACCGGGAATCGAATTATTCCGATCAAGATACCGCGTCAAACGAGTACAACCAACGTACACGCTATTTATGCAATTCCTCATTGTTATCTGTTTTCAATGTTCCACGTTCGTTCCTACGTTTCTTCACGTAATATCTCAGCGGGTTACGCGAAACAAACTTTCGACAGATGCTTCTTCAAAATATTACCACGATATTGGATAACGTCACTTTCACCATAGATGACCCTAATTCCCGTCTAGGCATCTAAACCTATCTCTCATTGTTCCCATTAGAGGACACGATGTATCAGAACACATTCGTATATCAACCGTATTTCAATTCGTATATGTCGTATTCACACATTCGTATATGAACCGACTGTGTGAATCGAAACTTATCGATTAAATAATTAACAGGAATGAAATCGACGAGAAACGTTGGAAAATGATTATAATAAAGAGTTAATAATGCGTGAACGTTCTCAGGGAACATGGAAGGTTTGCAAGGAAGCCAGGGGCTGAAGAGGAGACACGTTGCAGCACAAAGAGGTTGCACACAATATAGATTGCAATTTCCTTGTGGTGCTCCTTGCTTTTCTGTTTTTCCTTGTTTTATGAAAAGTTGTTTCGAAGAGAACTGATAAGTTCTTTGGGAGACAGACATTTTTCCAGAAGGGTTCTTTTCATAATTCTATTTTGTACTAGAGGTATTCTATTATTAAATTTATTATTACCAAAGATTTTAATATTGCTTATTGCAGATGAAATTTATGGAACATAGATTAGATAGGAATTTTTATTAATTTTGAGTGTTTTGGAACACGATTTTGACAGATTTATTATCGAAGGGGGTAGGAAGGTACTTGAGATTGCTTAAAATGGAGGATAGTCTGTTGATATTACCTAATTATTGCTTAACTAATCAAAATGTTAAAATTCGTTAATATTAAAAATATTAAAATATGGTGAAATCATATAGAATGTCATAAGAATCATATGATAAAATCGTATGTTAAAAATTCAATCATAATGATAAAAATATAATGCTTTGTAAAATTAAACCGTGGATATTACCTAATTACTTCTTAACTACTGAAAATGTTAAAATTTGTCAATATTAAAAATATTAAAATACGTGAAATGACATGGAATGTGTGTAAAATGTGTTAAAAATTCAATTTTAATAATGGAACAATAATGTTTTATAAAATTATACCAAATTAATATTTTTCTAATATAACAAACAATTTATTTCTTTTTAAACTAGCATACTGTCTTCACAATTACATTAAGGAATTTTTATATCTTTACAACTATAATATTATACTGACTCTATAAATACACTAAGAAATTTTTATATCTCTTACAACTATAATATTATACTGTCTCTATAATTATACTACAAAATTTTTATGTTTTTCAACTATAATATTATACTGTCTACAATTTAACTAAGAAATTTTTATATCTTTTACAACTATATTATTATATTGCCTCTACAATAGCATTAAGAAATTTTTATATCTTTTTCAACCACAATATTATGCTGTCTATACAAATACACTAAGAAATTTTTATATCTTTTACAACTATAATATTATACTGTCTCTATAATTATACTACAAAATTTGTATGTTTTTCAACTATAATATTATACTGTCTACAATTTAACTAAGAAATTTTTGTATCTTTCTCAACCACAATATTATACTGTCTATACAAATACAGAAACAAATTTTTATATATTTTTTTAACCTATTAGCCCGTCTTTAGAATCACATGAATCCTTATTCGCACCACTATTACAACACCATTATGAAATTTGCTATACGCTCATTACCAATGTCCCCATTTCGTCCCATTTCTTTTTCCACATAATCGGGCCATTGCATAAAATTCCTTACGCAACATCAACACACGTTCATTTCAATCCAATACTATCCACAGATATATCTCAAGACCTGCTTCGATCAGAACCATTGCGTGCTTAAATGGTAACACGATTCTCCACTCTCCGTGTTTCCAATCGACTTTTCCTCCGCACTAACCCAAACGCATTCACGCTTGTAAAATGTCATTCATTGTCCACACACTCTTGCATCGTATCTTCAACGACGAAATTTTAACGTCACGCATGTGCATATGCTTCTTTCTCAGAGGACCATTTCCAAGATTGCCATCCAAACGTGGCCGGTTTCGACGCGTGTGTTCGAGAGGCGTTAAACGAGATTCGACCCTACTTTAAAACTGGCCTTTCGAAGTACAATGTGGGGCCTTTTGATCCATTTTACGCGAAAGAAGTGTCCGTGTCACGTGGAATGCCCAGCTTCGGCTTCACCTTAACACTGAGGAACGTCACCGAGAGCGGATGGACAGCCAGCAAAGTGACGAAATTCGTCAGTGACTTGTCGAACTACAAGGTAAAGCTGTTTGAGCACTCGTGCAATGATTACAATGATAATGGTACCTTATGGACTCCTAATGGCACCAAGGGACCGAGTCACATCGATTTTTGCCGAAGTGTGTTATTACAAATGAATTATTTATATCTGGAAAGTAGCCGAAACTGGTTTGTTTTTTAAATTCAAATTTCTCAGACAATTCCGAATGGTAAGGTAATGGTAATTTTTATGCGAGCAGATCTTCGATGTAAACCTATCTGTCTTTTAAATTCAAATTTCCAACGATGCCTCATATAGTAAGTTGATGGTAACTTTTATTTATGTAAAAGGATCTGCAAAGGATCTGCAGAAATTTATTTTACGTATGGAGGATAATGGTACCATCGCTACTGAAATTTTTTCAAATTCAGAAGCTAATTAAGGATTAATCAATTTAGCCTGTAATTTGTCAGTGACCGATTGTTTCATTTTTATTAGGTAGAAGGGTAATGGAATTTCGATACTGAAATTTTTTCAAATTCAGAAGCTAATTAACAATTAATCAATTTAGCCTGTAATTTCTTAGTGACCGATTATTTCATTTTTAGGTGGTGTACACCCAGAGTTTTCCAGCCAAGTTCTTATCAGGCATGTACGAGTTCAAAGGATCAATGTTGGGTTCCAGTATGAGTAACAAAGGAAAATTCACTTTGGCTCTTTGTGAGTAATATTATCAATCCAACAAATTCCTCGATATGATCAAAAATAATTATTAACTTAATTAGTATAGTTATAATTATTAATAGTATTATATTAATAATTTTTGAATTATAAAATAAAATAATTGCGCACGAGAGGCGATCTTTAGCCACCACTTAATAAAATTTTGGAGACCTGTATTAATCAATATGTTAAATTTAAGATAATGCAATAGTGTGCGAGGTATTGGAATTAATTAATTGTACCTGTTAATTTTTATTCACACAATTTTCTATTTTCTAAAAAGTGTCATCGATATTTTGGCAAAAAATTTTCGAAATTTTGCTCTTCTGCAGCGAAGAAATCGTCCATTGCAAAGGTTTTGTTGAAAAACAAAATAGACAATGTCATGGGTACGATAAGGAGACCATAATAAATTATTTTTTAAATTAACTTTCAATATTTTGTACGAAAATATACAATTCCGAAGAACAATATAAAAATATAAAAAAGAAAACTCAAGTTAAAGTTATAAATAAGATATTATTATTACAAGTGCCATTTTTCTTTTCAGACGATCTTATTCAAACAACGACCATAACCAAAAAACCTGGACAAAAGATCGAAGTCAGCGTGGACGTGCAAACGATCAGAGACTTAAAGCTGCACATCACGAATTTATTGTTCGGACGTCAGGTTCTCGAGAATGTCCTCGACAGGATAATAAATGGCGCATGGCAACCAGGCTTTGTGATGACCAGGCGTTTAATAAACGATCTCGTCTCCAACGCGTTCACAGAGATCTTCGGGAACGCGTTCCGCAATTTTCCCTTCGAAAAAATCATTAAACCGAAACCCAATACGAGTTAAAAGGAGTGTAATTTGTTTGAAAACCTCGTATGGTTTTCTCGAAGAAAAACATATCAGTAGAGCTATAAACCGTATTTTTAAAAGTATATGCGTTTTCTTGAAATTGTTTTAAATTGTTTCAAATTATATTTCGTGGGCTATTAATTGGGTAAATGTGTTAAATTATGGTCCACAAATATTCTATTCGCGTTGCAAAATTATCCTAATTAAAAATGCGATGTGTTCTGAACTACGGCCGAGCGCTAAATGACGCGTGATGCGGCGCTGTTGTCCTTATATACTCAGTGACCACTGCCTTCGGGAGATGGCGCGACGATACACGATGGTAGCCGAAGTTACGATTTACGATTTTTCTATTATACAATAATATCAGCTCATTTAATTAATTTACTATTATTACAAATTTGTCATTAGTAAATATATCGTTTTTATTGCATTTTTAAGCTAAGAACGAATATACAACGAACAAGATCAGGTTAATCAATGATCGACAATTAAAAATAGTTACAATATGAAAGTATCATGATTCATGTAAAATCAATAGTACTGAATAAATTAGTGAATTCTATGATACAAGTATAATAGAATGTTTTATAATTTATAAATTTTCTCGATTTAGTTCTAAGCTTATAATAATTATTTCATAAATAACTATACAATGGTATCGGGGCATTTAAACTAGTACTATAGTACTGTTCTACTATTATAGTAATAGTGTAATAACATTAATACTATTATAGTAATAATATTATTGATATTACTAATTAATACGTGATTTATTCTTTATTTTTACACATTGCTTTAATTATGGCAACTCATTGTAAGTTCACTATAAATTCCGAACGTATCGTTGCAAATTCTACGATTATAAATTTAATTATTAAAAATTATAGAGTATTAATTTAAATATTTCAAAATTAATTTAATTTTTCGTATACTTTTTGCAACACGTAACGATTCGATCAAGTTTGCCATAAAGTAACGTCTCTATATACTTTCGCCATAAAATAGTAATTAATTTAAATGAGGAAAATTAATTGAAAATATTTCATAGTCTTATGGTCTGCTATGCAATACCAATTAACACGTGATCATATTTACCAAGTAATAAGACCCTGCTCCGTACTTCGTAAACACAAGAACACCATACACTTCGAGAGTACGAAACTATACGCTAACTACTCTAACAGCGCGTAATAATACCTAAATTAGAAATACAAAGGCGTCGAGTTAGAGATCGATGTATCGCTTCGGCATACGTATGATCTCATGTATACTCACGAGTGCCATAAATCGCAAGATCTGCTCTATGCACTGTTCCCCATAGTACCTCCAGCCAGCGTGTCCAGCTTATTTACAGACAATTGCCTTTTTACGATGGCAAATTACACCGAGGGATTATTCAAGAGCTTCTCGGAAATCGCGATCTTCCCTTCTTCCGTTTGTACCGAGGAGCATAACGAGGCTGACACAGGACTTTCTTCTTCTATCAGGATAGCCAGTTCGCCTTGAGAGGCTTACGGTCTCTGACCTCGCATTCTCATGGTGCGTCGACTCTCATCGAACGCTGTCGATAATTTGCGTTGAAAGGAAGACCTTAGGTAACGGAGTATCGACTTGGAAAATGCCTCACGGACGCCATAAGCGCCATTGTTCCATTGTCGTGGCGAGTATATAGATCATCGTGCTGGCTGGTTATTAAATAATGCTTCATGGGTTAAGCTTGAACAATTGCGAGGATCGAAGGATCATTCGAAAACTTCGAGTATCATCGTTTATTCAAATCAGTTAGACGAGGTAATCGTGGGAGTATAGCTTAAACTATGATTCGAAGAACAATCTTTCGGAATTGGAAAATTAAATATATGCAAATATAAATTTTTTTTCGATCCTCGAGAGATTCAATAATTATTTTTATATTCGTATATTCTTTTCTAATGGTGATTTAGAATTTTGATTTTTGCGTAAAGGCTGTTATTTTATTTTAATGGTGGACATATAGATTATTCTGCAAATTATTATACTTTTGTAGTGACTGTTAATGTTTGCAAGTATTTTTACAATATTTCACACAATTGTATACAATTTATTCAAGTGATTTAAATCAGGAAAGACTAGGAGAGGTCACTGACCTACCACAGTGCTGCAGAGTGACTGTTATCACTATACCAGTTTAGAGACACTATGATTGTTACGTTAAACGTACATAAGTAATATTAAAGTAATTTATTTAGACGAGTCGATCAAAAGTTAATTAATTCCAGAGGAAAAATTTTATTTTTCATATATTTTTCTTCTTAACGATACTTTGAAATTTATAGCAATTTATTGAAATTTATATAATTCGTACGATTATCAGAAATGTCAGTGTTAATACGATTTCGTGGAGTATGATCGTTATTGAAATATTACACATTCCGAACTCGTGCAGTTTACGTACAATGTGATATCGATCGAGGATATTACGGTTCAGCTCCTGCCATAACGCTCGATCATGACCGATTCCGATCGTGATCACGAATTACGGTGCTTATTAACGGTGCTTAACATTCTTCGCTAAGCACACCAACTTTTCTGACGTCTCATTCACATCCTGCTTACTTTCGTTCTATCCCGATCAAATTTTTCTTCTTCGTTATAATATTCCTTCCGTGTATGACTAATATCGAGCAAACAACGATGGACAATGTTCAATAAAATTATTTATACAATTACGACTACGACTGTACAAAACAGGTTTTCTACGCGAATTTTGATAGTCTTAGAAAGAAGATATATATGAATTAAAATTCTCTAAAATAATGCGAAACAGTAAATATTAATTTTACAAAATAATTCTCATTTTATAGAGACCTAGAAAATTTTGTTAACAATTTTAGGAAAGATAACGAGCTTCGATAAAATTGTTCTCGATCAATGAAAGGGTAAAATAAATTTTGGTTTCGATTTTTGTAGGAAATTCCTATTGTTAATTTTACAAAATAATTCTCATTTTATAAAGTTCTAGAAAAATTTGTTATGTGTTTTAGAAGAGATAAGAAGCTTCGATAAATTTGTTTTCCATCAATGAAAGGGTAAAATAAATTTTCGTTCTGATTTCTGCAGCAAATTACTATTATTCATTTTACAAAATAATTCTTATTTTATAGAGTCCTAGAAAATTTTGTTACCAATTTTAGAAGAGGTAACCAGCTTCGATAAAATTGTAGTCGATTAATAAAACAGTAAAATAAATTTTTATTCCGATTTCTGTAGCAAATTCCTATTATTAATTTCACAAAATAATTCTCATTTTATAGAGTCCAAGAAAATTTTGTTACCAATTTTAGAAGCAATAACGAGCTTCGATAAAATTGTGGTCGATTAATAAAACCGTAAAATAAATTTTTATTCCGATTTCTGTAGCAAATTCCTATTATTAATTTCACAAAATAATTCTCATTTTATAGAGTCCAAGAAAATTTTGTTACCAATTTTAGAAGCAATAACGAGCTTCGATAAAATTGTGGTCGATTAATAAAACCGTAAAATAAATTTTTATTCCGATTTCTGTAGCAAATTCCTATTATTAATTTCACAAAATAATTCTCATTTTACAGAGTCCTAGAAAATTTTGTTACCAATTTTAGAAGCGACACGAGCTTCGATAAAATTGTAGTCGATTAATAAAACCGTAAAATAAATTTTTATTCCGATTTCTGTAGCAAATTCCTATTATTAATTTTACAAAATAATTCTCATTTTATAGAGTCCTAGAAAATTTTGTTACCAATTTTAGAAGAGATAATGAGTTTCGATAAAATTGTGGTCGGTTAATAAAACCGTAAAATAAATTTTTATTCCGATTTCTGTAGCAAATTCCTATTATTAATTTCACAAAATAATTCTCATTTTACAGAGTCCTAGAAAATTTTGTTACCAATTTTAGAAGAGGTAACCAGCTTCGATAAAATTGTAGTCGATTAATAAAACCGTAAAATAAATTTTTATTCCGATTTTTGCAGCAAATTCCTATTATTAATTTCACAAAATAATTCTCATTTTACAGAGTCCTAGAAAATTTTGTTACCAATTTTAGAAGCGACACGAGCTTCGATAAAATTGTTCTCGATCACTGAAGTCGTAAAATAAATTTTCTTTTCGATTTCTGTAGCAAATTCCTATTTATTCGCGGGATCAGCTAACTTTCTCGAGTAAAGGCGAGTCCAGTGACGAACAATGGCGTGGTGATGCTTTATCCTAGAATTTTTTCAACTACCTAATACGAGATTTCAACGGTGTAATAAGAAATCCTTGAGAATCGAGACAGTGGCGACGAATTGTGCCATTTTTCGCGAACCAGTTTGCCTCTGTCATTTCGGCGCTGAAGAAAGTCGCGACTGTGAGAAAGTCGCTAAAATAATTAACATGTATCACGCTTTGTATCGACCACCTTGATGTAATACTCAGAGGAGAAAGAAGTGGGGAAAAATTAATTTCTGAGAATCGTTTCGTTACGGACGCGGGATCTGCTTGCGCTTTCTAACGAAACCACGAGGGCAATTGTGAACACTGACCTCTATAACACATATTATGTATACAGTGATTTCGAACGAAATGATATTGATTCTTAGAGAAGACGAAATCGATGAAAAGTTGAATCGATTCGGAGAAACATTGATTTCGTGCATTCGTGACAGGACATGACATTTGTGGCAAGAAATAGGATTTTATTTATGTGAGAGCATTGTCGATTAGCGTAATAATCTCTTAACCATAGTTTTCCATAGTATCTTTGTTCGAATAATATTGACATAAAATTTTATACCTGATTTTAATTAAAAAATATATTAATATTAACGAAGACATATTTTACGTGTATTTTATCGTATGTTATTAAATTTTTAAACTCGAGAGACGATTTTTGATTCTCATTTATTTTTATTTGGTTACCTTCCAGTTGCCATTTTTAAAATACAGTAAATTATTTAAAATAAAGTAACAGAATACACGAATTATTTAAGTAAAATCGTTATACGCGTTAATTAATTTATTTTGGAACAGAAAAATTTCAAGCAATTTTTATATATTCAGATAAAAATCTTCGAGTGCAGGGAGTTGAATATATTAAATATATTATTAACGGATAATGTAAAGAGTACATATTAGAATATAAATTGTCGTGTTTTCTTTGATCGGTAACATAATATAATTTTTAATATCGCGATTAATTTATTAAGGTTTAATTGAAAAATTATTACTAGTTTGTAAGAACTATTCTATTATTCTCTTTTACTAATTGCACAGGAAATGATCGAATTTCACGCACTAGATTCATCAGACTAGGCGCTCGATCTCTTATACACACGTTGAAATCACCAGCGTTCTATCCACACTGTTTTACCGACCTGATCTTTAGTCAACACATTTCTCCAGCGATTTTCAATTACACACTATTTGAAATTCACATAAAATTGAACTCGTTAAAACAAATCAAGTTATACCGAACAGATCAAATAATAACGAAGTCATTACCTACCTCAAGCTCGTTTCACAGGGAATTAATCATTCTTATTAATCTCCCTCGATCTCGTAGATCTCGTGCATTTGCTTCGAACAACTTTCTTCATACAAACATTAAACTCTTCGGCAATCCAAATCCCAACCATTTAATCCAATTTTCAATTCACTTAACGTAGAATGCTCAACTACAAACTCTTTCGATCACTCGCATCATTTTAATTTCGAATCACTATCGTTTGCACTCTCTTCGTGTGGAAACAGTAGTCCAAAGAAAATCCCACAAGAAACACAAAATTTCCAGAGAAATTTTTCGTCTGTAGCAATTAGGTAACAAGAATAACACGAAATAAAAAAAACCTTCGTTCATCGATATAGATGACATAGACACTATAGACACTAATAGTAGATATTAATAAATAATAAATAACAGTTAATAAACTAATAAAGACAGCGAACACTGAAACTAATAAAGATCTTCGTTCCTCGATATAGATTACGTAGACACTATAGACACTAATATTAGATATTAATAAATAATAAATAACAATTAATAAACTAATAAAGACAGCGAACACTGGATAAACACAGAAATCTTCGTTCCTCGACAAATCACACGACACCAACGTAGAATAAAAATTAAAGAGATAAATCTTCGTTCTTCGATATACATAATTTCTACAACGGTAACACTGACAAAAATAACTGACAAGGATCAGACATCTTCGTTCCTCGATGTAACATGCAACGATAACACTGATAAAAATAACTGACAAGGAGCAACAACCTTCGTTCCTCGATATAACATGCAACGATAACACTGATAAAAATGGTGGGCAAAGGCAGAAATCTGCGGGAATTATATAACAGAATGCTTTCGGAGGTTAATAACAACGTGGAAGAAAGTGCTCGAGGCGGTCGATCCACCGTTGGATTCTGTTCTGCTGGTCGTGTTCGCATCGAAGGCATAGCGGGGGCAATGTCAAGGTGCTATAAGGCCTGGCGCATCCTTCACGGCCGGTCATTCCACGCGGAGAAATTCGATCGACGCGAAGAAGTCCCAAGGAACGCCGAAGAGCAGCCAAAGATCCGAGGATGAAGATCGTCTTGTTCGCGTGCGCGTGTTCCTTGCTGATTTCCGTTCAGGCCATCGGCAGATACAGAGGATTAGAGTTCCTGGACCCTTGCTCCAGCAGGGACTACAATGTCGAGAGCTGCCTTGCTAGGTCGGCCAACGTACTCACCGAGCGCTTCCGCCATGGTAAAAAATTCTTCCATTTCTTCTTTCCCCCTTCCTTTCGCAATTTCTTTTTTTAATTACATAAACAAATTATTAATTCGAGCTCGTGTACTCGAGTTGGGTAATAGAAGCTGGTTTGATTAATTTAAAAGGTGGGTTCGGTGCTCCGATATTTTTATGGAAAATTGTGATGGTAATTATGAAAGTGGACTGGGTTAAAGCTATAGAGTACTATTTTTGAGAAAATAGAAAGGAATGTTGAAGAGAAATTATTAATACTTCGGGAGGCATCTTGTGTGACTTAGGCTACTTTTATAATTACTGGGACAATTGTGTTGGAAGAAGTAACTTATTATAGCAGAAATTATTCAGGAATTGTATAATAAGGTACTAGATATTCTAACCCTTTGCACTGGGCGATCTTTTCGTTACAGAAATATAGTAATTCGAAGACTATCTGCCATAAAGTCGAGGATATTTTCAAAACGGTAAATAAGAAGTGCAAATTAATTGTAAGAATTATTTTACCTCAATATTCTACGCGTCATTGGGAAATTTAAAATTTGAGATATTAATTAACAACGATTTTAAAACCAAATTAAATCTTTCGAGTGCAAAAGGGCTAAATTATAGCCTAAGTTATAGACAAACCTGGTCGCTCAATAAAATTTATTACAAAAGGAATAATCTTCGTGATATTTAATCTTTTATTTCACAAATTTGTTTAATTACCCACTGTTTAATTAATACAGGTTTAAAGTCGAATTTTTGGACAAAATTTTATTACGGATATTCGATTTAAAATTGAATCCTCTGCGTGTCGAGTACGCTGGTCTCGTTTGGACGATTGTTGGCAGGACACCCGGTAGATAGTGTTGACCAAGTTGCGTTACACGTTTGTCCGAGAACGGCAGTCCCATTTTCTAAAAGTAGAATTCGCGTGTCGTGCAGGGAAAAATACGGAAGTCGAAAGTCAGGAATTACAGATCGCTGGAGCACGTGGTGTCGTTGGGAAAAGAGTAAAAAAGCATGGTGGCAAAGAAGCAGGTTATAACGGTGTATTCGAATGGTCACCCAGTGTCCTACATTCCACCAGCACTATACACGACAGCCAGATGGAATAGGTTCGGTTTACTCGCGTGGATTGAATAAAACATTTCACGAATTCTTGCCATTGAATAGAGCGACTTGGTCTGGCCATTTTTCAAAATTCTCTCTGAGTTATTACTTTCGATTATTCTCGATGGATTGCAGAGTGGTAAGCTAATGCGAAACGAGTTCTAATCAAGTGATTACCCCTCTTCTCTGTCTAAGTATGGAATTATCTGAAAGATAATAAAAGTAAGAAAGAGGGAATGGTTAGGAATTGGTCTGAAAATAATTTTATTTCAATTAAAAGTTCAGACTTCTCCGTTGGATGTAGGAAAAATATTTTTCTCTGACTTCCAATCACGACTTTTTAGATTTAGAATATACAATTTAGTCTTCTAAGAATCGAATAAAAATAAAGAAAGAAATAATATATAATAACTAATAAATAGCTGAAAGAAATGAAAGAATTACCTATTTAATTAGTAACATTTTTACAATTCTTTCAGCTACTCCATAAATAACATAATACAAAATTTTATTCCATATTTAATAATATTCAAATTATAAAACTTCCAGAGAATTGGTCTTAAATTAATTTTATTTCAATTAAAAGTTCAAACATCTCTGTTGGATGTGGGAAAAATATTTCTCTCCTTTAATTACAATTTTTTGGCTTTATAATATATAATTTAGTCTTTGAAAATTTAAACTTAAAAAAAAGGAAAAGGATTAATAGCTAATAATAAATAAATAGCTGTAACGAATAAAAGAATTACCTATTTAATTAGTGATATTTTCACAATGCTTTCACCTATTCCATAAATTACATAATTCCAAATTTTTCTCCATAATAATATTCAAATTACAAAACTTTCACAGTGATCCACTAAAATAAATTATAAAATTCTCACAGCAACCCAATAAAATAAATTCCAAAATTATCACGATAATCGAGGAAAATAAATTAAAAATTCCATAGTGGAGGGTGTCGATATTAATTCAGTGGTTATAAAACTCTAGGTTTACCTCAACTGGGTTATCCAGAGGTGGAGCCAATCATCCTGGACGAGCTGCACATAGCTCTGGGCGGTGGATCAGATGGCTACAGGGCTCAGTTCAAAAACGTCACTGCCAGAGGAGTTTCCACGTTAAGAGTGACTGGTTTGAGGGCCAGGTTATCAGAAGACGAGGTGCAACTGCAGTTGGCCCTCAGCATCCCGAAAATCAGAGCTGCTGCCAAGTACAGGTCCAGTGGCACTCTGCTTTTGGTGAAAGCCAGTGGAGCTGGCGATTATTGGGGCGAATATGGTAAGAAACAAGAGTTGTCTTAAGTGCACTCGTTGTTGCAACATTTAGCGTTCAATTCCGTGACGTGTGCGTAGTTTCAATTAAGGTGAACTCAATTTGGCGGTACAGTTGTAATAGACCTAACAGATCTCCTTGAAGACATGCAGTTACGAAAGTAACAGAATTCTGAGTTTACTCCAAGCAAAGAGCAAAATTGTGAAATTTTCTGCCAATCTTACGTTAATGAAAATCTCAAGGTTTAGGGTTCGCGAGATAATTGCAAGAGCAACGAGCAAAATTGCAAAACTTTTCTGCAATTTCTATTTACACAGAAAGTCATAGAATTTTATGACTACTCGGAATAAAAAGTAGAACTGTGAAATTTTTTACAGAATTTGCATTTATACTAATTAGAGATTTCGAAGTTTACGTTAGCAGTAAGAGGCAAGGCTGTAAAATTTTTTACGAAATTTGCATTCGTTCTGCGGAATTCGAGGTTTATATTTCAAGGTGGAAAGGAGAGTCGTAGAGTACCATATGCAATTTGCATTTTTTAAAATCGTAGAGTTCAAAATTTGCATTAAAGGCGAGAAAAAAAATCGCAAATTTATGGTATAATTGTACCATGTATTACAGAATTGTAGTCGTACAGATGAAAAGAAAATTTGCATACCGAAGGGAGAATGTCAAACTCCAATTGTCAAGGCGAAAAATGGCAAAATCAACGATGTTTGATTCGATTGTCGAGTCATTATTTTCTATTGCAATTGCAAAAACTGGGGAACATTAAACTAAACCGTGGAATGCTTGGAGTGAAACGTGGTTGGTGTTCAACTGGATTATTCTTGAGATAAAACATCGATTAGAATGCTGCGGGTTTTAACAGCTTGCAATGGCGTGCAATTATAATTCGCGAGATAGAGGAGCGAGTGTGATAGAATACCGCGGACTCAGTGAAAAGGTAAAAGTCAAGAGCGTAAACTTTCACCGCCGACGCAATGCAAATTTGTCTCCCAGCTCACTTTTATGTTTCGTTTTGTGGCTCCAACAATCGTAAGATTCATTGTCTGATTATGGTGTCAGCAATTTTCAAACGAGATCTACATATTTACATTGAACTTTTACATTGTACAAACTTTTACAAATTATTATAAACTTTTTCTGTGAAAGTTAACCTCGAATACTTTGAGATCGAACAGAGATTAAGTAGCTTTAATAAATTAAATTAAAAACAGAAGAATCTGTATGAAAATCATCGAAACAAGAATTTCAATAACAATAATTTTGTATTAATGAATAATATAGTACTCAATTAGAATTAATTTTATATTGAAAATTATTTTTGAATACTTTGAGATCGAACAATAATTAGTAGTTTCAATAAATTAAGTTGAAGAAACAGATTCAGTAAGAAAATTATCGAAATAATAATTTTGCATTAGGAAATAACATAATATCTAATTAATAATAATTTTATATACAAAAGTATTTCTAAATACCTCAAGATCGAACAGTAATGAGTAGCTTTGATAAATTAGATTAAAGAATAGATTCATTAAGAAAATTATTGAAACAAGAATTTTAATAACGATAATTTTATATACAAAAATTGTTACAAATTTCTCTGTTGAAAATTATGCTTAAATATTTTCCAGATTAAGAAATAATCAAGTATATCTGATAAATTAGAAAGGAATTTATGTTTTTAATTTTCTTTTTATTCAATGTATTAAAAAATATAATTTCTCTGTAATTAACAAAAGATTGAAGATTTTAGGACCAGCCTTAATAAATAAACAGCCTTAATACCTTCGCGTCGTGAGAGGCACTGCATTTATTTTCATGCGAATGGTACCATTGACCTCTAATGCATTCGCCTTGCAGAATGCAACCAGTTCTGTGCAACTGCACCTTGCTCTTTGCAAACATAGCTTAATCTCACGCATCATGTTTTACAGCTCGTTCCAGAAATCGAAAGAATTTTTAATAAATCGACACCTGTCTTATAGAATCAAGCTTTTGGTTAGTGAAAAATTGGAAACAGAAATTTATGGAAAATTTGAAAGATTGAAGAGGAAATTTATTATTCGCGCAAATCTAAGAAATTAATCTTCTCCATATTTGCAGAGGGTGTCAAGGCAAAGGTGTTCATCAGGGCGAAGCCATTCATAGTTCAAGGACGACGTTATTTGAGGCTGCAGCAACTCAAGATGGACTTCAGCGTGCAGAATATCAAGATGGGCGTCGAAAATGTCCGCGACAGCAACGCCATAATTCGTAAGTTAATTTAAAATATTAATCGAAACAACAAACTTGGAAATTTTCTTATAAATAATTAAATTAAAATAGATCAAATTATCACATCAAATTCAATTACTTGAAATCAAATTTTCAAAGGATTAAAAATGAAAAAACCTCTAATTTAAATATTACATCGTATAAATAGAAATCATGGTAATATAAAATTAAAAAAATTTAATTTCCTGAATCCTTAATTCATTAAATCCAAAAATGTGCAATGTAAATCATATCCTATTTTTTCTTATATTTGAAGCATAATTTAAATTATGGCATCATGGAATGTGTATAAAAAAATTCAGAATTTCATAAATAATAATTTCAATTAATCAAATCGTTGCTCGAGTAGTCAATTTGGTTCTTTCATGAAAAATGAATCTCCTGTGAGATTGCAATATACAATTTGATCGATAGTCCGGGAAACCTTTTGAAAAATTCAGAGAAATCAGAGAAATAATAAATGTACCGAAGCTTACGTAAAATCTCGTCAGAATCATCATAAAAATCGTTTCCAAATGACCATAATCGATGATCGATCGAGTTTAATGACACTTTTTCTTTTCAAATTATTTCAGTAGCCGCATTGAATCTCTTCATTAATACTAACAGCCAAGAATTGCTAAAAGAGATGAAACCGGATTTGAGAAGGAAGTTAGTCCAAGTAATGACGACATTCGTCGAAAAGATCTTTGCTCAGGTACCATACGATGCATGGATCATGGACTAAGCGAACCAAAATGGCGTCTTGTCCGTGGAGCTCGGTTAACAACGAAGGATGACCAAATACTCGCTCGTGTTCGATGAAACCACGACGAGATTTTCGAATACAAAACACGAAACGACAACAAACTTAACCAATTTCACCGAAAAATTTTATCAAACGAGGAAATTTTGCGTTACTTCTCGTGTTACTTAAAATTCATATTTAATTTCTTATTCCACTGGAATCAGCACGATCCTGAAGTATTTTAACGCCATAAGTTTACTTTGGTATTATTTATGTCATTTATTTGTTTGTTTACTCGTGTTAAGAGTATGAAATGTTGTAGACATTTTTGTGTGTGTGTGTATGTTCTGTGCGTGTGTGTGAAAATTGAATTAAGCATGTGTTTTAACACTGGAACTACTCGATGAAATTGAAATAACTGGTTTCGGACCTTTTATCCTTGCAGTTGTTGAAAATATGCAGATGAAATTGAGGACGAAATTTATTTTGATTTTTATCCAGACAGAGACGTAATATAGGCACCTATTTATTTTCATCGTTCTTTAATTATCGTTATTTGTGTGCAGCAGTATATTTATTTTATTGCAATAAGTTGCTATATATTAAAATTATAGAATAATGAAGCTAATACTATATACAGAAATGATATAATAATTAATAACAAATAAGTTTACTATTTATTATATATGTCGAATTTAATATTATATCTTATATATATATTTGGTAATTACTATAATTATTTGGTAATTACTCTAAATTGTGATTATGAAAATTTCAGTAGTTCCAGCGTTAAAATTTTTATTCGTTATGGTTTAATTGCGATGTTTACGTTAAGTTGTGTACTCATATATCCATCGATTGCACTATTATGACTAATTGAAGGATGAAAACGAAGGAAGCCGGTGTTGTTCAATATCCTTATAGCCCCAGAAAATCTGTGTTCATCGACAATCGCTTTCTCTGTTTTCACTTTTCAGTTTATATTATGCTTTATATTATATACGATATATTTTTATACGCTTTATGTCACATGTCATTCGTTTTATACATTTCCACGTGTTTCGCACGAAAACTGGATATTTATTTATTCCGCTACCATTGTTGTATTAAAATAAAAATTAATTCCTTCACTCATATCGAATATTACGGAGTGACGCTTAATTTATTTCGAAGGCACCATGATCGAAAAGTATGAGAAATTTAGCGAATGGAATTATTACTTTAATCGTCGAATTAAATCATTCGTGTTTCGAAGTAAAATTATAACACACAGATTATAAATATAGTTAGATTGTAAGTATAAATAATAATTTATGAATTAAATTAGGTATTTTACTAGGGACAAGTTTAAACACGACAAAGCTTTAGAAGCAAATGTCAGGAATTATGAGGAACATTCGAAAATGAGGTATGAAAAGAATTGCATATCGCGAAGGCAAGGATCAGGTATTAAAATAAATTTCCACGAAGGAAAATCTTCGAGTGAGTTATGAATTATTCAATGTACGTGTATTTTAACGTATTTGGAACGTACGCACGTTTGAAATCTCCGTCAGTGGATAAGATTATTGAAACAAGATTGAAAAGAAACCATTAATCATCTACGACATCACACGAAATTTGATTTGCATTGTACCATTGCTGGATTTAAATTCTAGAAATCTCGTTATCAATTGAAATTTTGTATTACTTCAATTTGCGTGATATTAGGGTATTCTTCGAACCTATAATTCATTTAATTATTTCAATAATGTTAATTATAATAATTATATAAATATTGGTTACAATAATTATAATAATATATTTATTAATTATAACGTAATTAATAATACTATTATTACAACCAATATCTTAGTAACATTTGTATTAATTATGTAGTAACCTTATATTACCACAATTGATATATAATTAATATAATTAATATTTCAATAATTTTAGTTATAATAATTACATTAATATTTGTTATGTTAATTGTAATAATATATTTATTAATTGTAACGTAATTAGTAATACTATTATTACAACCAACACGTTAATAACATTTGTATCAATTATATGATAACGTAATTCAGGATAATACATAATCGGATTACATTTATCATTGTAATTAATGATACTTACATAAGCTACAGAATACCCATAGGTTCTTCGCATAAATTTAATCCGATTTATACTGCAAATGAATTACAATTGCCACGACACCTGATACATTAAAACTCCGCAAAATTCCATAAATTCTTCAAATGGGACACACGAAACTACTCGTTAGATGCGAATTTGCCCGTCATCCAGCAATTTATCAATTTCAACGAACGTGTTTCGTGACGCTTAATCCCAGAATTCGCGGAAAACATACGAAATGGAAAAAAATAAAGAGAAGAATAATTAATTATTTCGTCGTTTGCAAACGCTGAGACTTCCGGAGATTTTCGTCGAGATGATTATGTATGCCCGTCGCAATGCTTCAGATGACAGGTGGAGGAAATTAATCAAGTCACCGATATGACCACATAATCCGATTAATATTGCATCAAGCACGTGAAATCGCGGATCACGAACTTTGAATCAGATCATCCGATTACTTGGGGAAAATTCAGTTTTATTAGTCATCACGTCGATTCTTTTTCCGATATTCCTCGATATCTTTTTTCTCGCTAAAAATTTTATATTTAACACAAAAACTGTGTCATTTCTATTGGTATTCGAATTTATACTTATATCAGTTTGCAAAAGTGAGACAAATTATTTTCAAAGATAATGATTTTATAATTTCCCGATAATACTAAGAAGGTATTTGGGAATGACAAAAATCGCAAAAATGTAGGAAAACGTGAAGAAAGCAAAGGTTGCGAATTATTGTGTATTACACCTTTGACGAATTTTAAAAAATAGAAATAATGTAAAAATTATAAAATTATAGAAAGCGATATGCAATTTATATATATTTGTCGATTTTTGAAGGGGTGAAGTAAATAAATGGGGTAAAAATTATAAAGGGTGTAACAAAAATTTAAAAAGTGACAGATATGGATGTAGTACTAGGTTTATAATGTAAAAATTGTGTTGCGTTGAAGTTGGAATTGTAAGAAATCGGCAACAAATTGCAATGCAGCGAAAATTATCATACGTTCTTTTACGAAACCTACAGAAAATTTTGTGGTCCAAGAATACTTTAAGGAAACACAGATATTATTTATAGCTGAAATGACACGTGATGTTTGTTATTCCAGTCTTATCCAAAAGAAAAGTCGAGATTTAAGATTTTGATTTCGCTCTAACCGCGTAAACAATAGGAATATCATACCTGACTCGCTTTCCAATTAACCAAAATACCTGTTAGGACACCTAAATATCGCCAAATAAATATCGCAGTCTATTATTTTAATTATATCTTACACAATAATAATCTTATACTTTTTCATAATATATCTATACGAACTATAAAATATAATATACAACATATATTATTTTATATTTCATATTTTATATTTAATACAATTTATATTTTATATTTAATATAATTTATATTTTATATTATTTTATATAATAATATATATAATTTAATTATATTATAATTTCAAATTCTTTAAATATATTGGAATACATCTAAGTTAAAGGACACGTTAAAACTACATTCGAATTTTAGATATTTGAAACATATTTAATAAATAAAATTTAAATAATAATAAATAAAACAATATAATAATCTTTCACGAAGATCATTTCGTACATCATATTTCTCGAGAATATGTTGTCAATTATCGTAATTTTAATAATGAATGGTCATGCGATACATTTTTAAACATGACACCATTCGTTCCTTTTTTCTTTGCAAAGATATAGTATCTGTAAAATATATTTCAATGTATGAAATATCGGTATGAAATACACGCGAAAAATGTAAATAACATTCCCGGACAATCTTTATAAAAACATGTTCAATAATTCATGCTTCGAAACTCGTAGATAAGGGTACTGGTATTCCTTGAATTTGCATTTTTGTCCTGGCTTTACTCGAACAACGTTTTTGCCTCGAAAGATGACAATTCTATAATACATCTCGATAATTACCATAAAACACATTCACGTTTCGTTTTCATTCATTTACGGAAATAATGGCCAAGTAACACGAACGAAATCGAAGATGACGGAAACGTTATGTCTATTATGATGCAACGTGTTCGATGATGACTTCGTCCATTTTGATTCCTTTTCTTTTTGTGTACATATATATAGAAGACACGAAGCTTCTTTTTCAAAGTTGATAATTTAAGGCCAAGGATTGGGACTTAATTTGTTTCGAGCTAATTACATTTATACGAATATTGACATTTTCATGACATTTTGCTATTTTTGAACGAGGTATATTCAAGAAATTTCCATTATTTAAGAATGTCATTTCCGACAGTTTAATAGTTATTCTTATGAGATTGGCACATCGATTATCGATATTACAGAATTTTTATTTGCAAGTTTCCGTGATAAATAATTTTCAACCGATATTAATGAAGGGTTGGCATTTTAGTTGACACCTCGTAATTAATTATAATTCGCGATTCCACTGCATCGATTTCGCGATTTAAATTTTTCCAACACCTTTTCATCAGGATGAAATAATTATTTAAAATCGGATTATCGAATTTCGAAGTAACGCAGCTGAATTTTGCCAAGATTTTCTTATAACGTCCTCAAGGAATTTCGAGGAAGACTTATGTATCTGTCAATTTCGTTTATTCCACTGAATTCTTCAGGGTTTTTATATTTTATTCTACAAGTTACACGATTTCATATTCAATTCTGACCTTTTTAAATGTGATAATTGTTCGTGTTACGTAAAACAAATACTTAAGTATCTGCCTCATCTTCTTCCACTAAAATCCACAAGACCATTTTGTTTCTAATATCAAATTAATTTTTAACTATATATCGAGGAAATAAATTCGAGCAAATATAAACAAACACGAACAAACATTGTTCTAATGTCAAATGAATTTTTAATTACGATATTATCTATAACATACAAATAATTTTCTTTTACAATTACAAATTAATAAAGAAGAAGCAAATGATGAACCCTCGAATAAAAATTCGAGCAAACATACAATTGCAAATACAAATATAAAGAAACATGTAAAGAGATATATTTCCCCGTAAACAACAAGAAATTCGCTTATCTCCAAATTAAAATCACCTCGAGTAGCTTCCTGAAACCCAAGGTATAATTTAAAATTTCCAACGAATTAAATCTGAATGTGGAGGTGCCATTTCCTGAACCAAACCTTCGTAAGTCACTGGCAAGCAACGTCAAAGGCATTCCAACGTCAAATACAAACAGTCATTTCCACTTCCACACTCCAGAACGACGATTTCTCCGAGCAGATAAGGTCTCGAGGAACCAAAATGGCCAAACGACCGCTACGGCGCGTTTCAATATGGCGTACGCGATGGAAACCACGAAGAGGCCTCTTCCATCTAATATTCCAACTACGTATCATCTCTTTACCGATCACGAACTCGCTCGTTTATGCCTGTTTTCCAAGAAAATCACGCGAACGAGCGAAAAGTCAACCCGCGGACCATGATGTTCGACTCGCCGAAGGACAGGGTCAAGGTGCCATTTCTGCCATGACAAGTCACGCGCTTGAACTTGCCCGGGAGCATGCTCAGGAGTACGTTCACACCACGTGTACGTAAATATCGTCCAAAAGTTGCCTCGATTACGGTGTTCCTTCCTGTTTTACCAATTAACGGTCCTTTCGTCGCTTCGTATTTATTTCCGTCCTTGAAGGAATACTTCTCTTCGTTTTTATTTTCATTCCCGCAGAGGGAATTCGTTAACACTTTAACGGAGTTAATCGTGAGAAACGAATTCTAACCGATTATAGTTTTTCCTCGGGATAAATCTGTGACTTCTGAAATATTCGATATTGACCTTGTACTGTGGTAACCGTACTTTGGAGTGAAGGCAATTTTCAAGATATCGAGTTAATTGCAGTAATTTGTGTGAATAACTAATCGTTACAAGCAGATCTTTTTGTCGCTGATAATAAAATCTGAATACATTGGTATACCGGCGAGAAAATAAAATAGAAAATGGAATTTCAAGAAATGCACGACGCGAGGAGTATGAAATGGGAGTACCTAATTATCCTTCAAATAATTATTGCCAATGGACCGGTTGAAAAAGACAGAATTGCTTAGATATTCGTATAAAGTATTAAATATCAACGATGTGGCAATAAAATCTACCGAAATAAATATTAAACATCGAATAATAATAATTTAGGGTGTAAAATGAAATTGGAAATGACAGAAATTAAGGAGACGCGAGATAAAAGTACGCAATCGTTGATCAACATGGCGCCGAGATCGATAGCAATTTAGTGGAGGATTTAGCATAGAAGCGCATAGAATTAATTGAAATAAAAAATGAAATCGTAGGATGTTAATGTTTAATGGATATTTAAGTGTTGCACGATGTTTAACAAACTATTTGTCCAACCTATCAATGATCTTTTTCTGCTCATCAACGATCTACTGCGGAATAAACAGCCATTTTCCTTCCTTTCGACTCGAGCACTGACACTGAGTGTGAATGCTTACGATTTCCCACTGAAGGAAACTCCTGTCGTTTTCTCGGATCCTGTTGGCTTCCTCGGAAACCAGTCATTCTATTGACGCCTTGCCTTGATTTTCCAATGCATAATAGATTAATTCTGGAAGTTAATAACGGGTATATGACGACACACCGATACTCAGAGGAAGAAAAATCAAGAGAAAATTTGTTGGGTAAAGTAAACGATATTTTCACCAGGAAGAGACTTAGGGTTGTTAAAAATCAAGTTGGAAATTCAAAGCAGAAGGGATGAAATAGTATTGTTATTATTATCAGGTCTCAGAAAATGTTGCAGAGTGCAGTATATTGTCGATCACGTGTTATGTAATACACCAGTAATTATATAATCAGATTATTAGTCAGAGTATATTATACAGTACAATCATTATCAAATACTAGAAAATTGCGAAACATAATTTGGAAAATATTGAAACAAATCCGAAGATTAACAGAAGATCTCTGAAAACAAAATTCTAATTTTCTTTTGACATCTACAGTAATACAAATCTCTATAACTCACCCCTTAGATTCTCAAATATTTCCCAAACTACCAGATCGAAGTAAATACAAAAGCACCATAACAAATGCAGAAATTATTAAAGAATCTTTCAATTTTCTTTCAAAATTTCGAAAATTCAATTCTCAAGTTCCCCAGAAAATAAATCTTATTCCAAACCACCTCACCACCCACTACAATTAAATCCAAATTCAATCAAACCATCGCACACCATCAAATCTTCCAGTTCTCTTTGCACACCGTGACATTCCGAAATCAGAGGATAAAAAATTAAAATCGTTTACACACTTTTGCTCAATCTTACGGGCCTCTGCAAAATTCAGGCAGATCTTTTTCCCACTCGAGCTGTCTTCGAACGCATACAAACGCGTGTAGGAGTAATTATGCACATATACGAAGACACACGTTCTGACAAAGTCACGTGCTCAGAATTCGTGATTCCATCACGTTGATCTGGATGCTCTGGAGCACGTATCATCAGCGAACAACGGCACAGAATCAGTCAGAGAGGGGAGAAAGATGGAACTATAAGGACTTGGGGCTGTCCTCCACTCTATTCACTTCTAGACCGGCCATCTGATCATTCGTGGGTGACGAAACAACCCTGCTCCACTAGTCGTCTCTGTCCGAGAATCTCAGTACACTTCACGATCGACGTACCTCGATCAGGTCCAGTCGCTGAAGATCGACGTCCGAGAGGAAGAAGAGGATGAAGATTATCGTGGTGCTAGGATTGGTCGTGGCGACTTTTGGCGCTGCTTTCGCGCGCCAATTACGTAAGTGACACTTCTGAATTCTGCAATTGTTGCAATTTTCCATCGACACGCGTTTCGTTTCATTTCGTTTTGTCATTTCGATTCGAGAGTGGATCTTGGTGTCACGTCAGGTCTGTGGTTTACAGCTGGATCTTACGATTTAGATTCGTGTTTGTGCGAGTTTAGGGAAATTTAAGCCAGGCTTGGGGATACTTTGGAGATAGAGGTAATCGAGTTTAAGTTGTTGGTACTTTTTGGGTTCTGTATTTTACAGAAAATTGAAGATTGAAAGTGTCTTGAACGAAGATTTATAATAATTAATAATAATATTTGTGTCTATGCAAATAATTGGTTATTTCTGATGAAGAGTAATTTAATTGAACGAGGGTTTGATACAATTTTATAATTTATAATTGCTAGAATTGTGTACAGCATCAGAGCAGTTTATCGACGTGTGTGTACAAGTTTCTTGTTTCTTGTGGTACCGTCTGCTTTGTACGAGATAATAATGAATTTATCGCAGATAACCTGTTATTTTTGTATTTCTAAATTTTATTATAATTTTATTATAATTTTATTGAAAAGTTAGAGTGGATAGTTTAATATAAAGAAGTGAAAAATAGTGCTAGTGTATTTGAAAGTTCCAATGCTTGAATATAAGTAGATACTTTAAAATTTAATTATATTCACAATTTTCTTACATTTATGATTCTGACTATTTGTATTAATTTGCATCTTTGTCTTGCTTCTCTGGAACTAAGGAAACGTAAGATTTCGAGTATGTACTCCAGGAGAAGCAATTGTTATATATGCAAAAGCATTTGAATAATATCGACTGATTAATGATATCTGTAGTGAGTGATGTTCAACATTCGATAAACATTTGATTTACATATAGCTTCCGGATGAATTTTTTATTTTTTATTGACCGATGGAAAATCACTTGAACTTCAATCTCTATAGTACAACTTCATTATTCACCGAGCAACGGATTTAACAATGCATACACCTTCAAAATACGTTTCGATCCGAAAAATTCCAGATACTGCAGAGACTAATCGATCTTTTGCATTTGCTTTCTTCTATATTAAAGTCAAAGTGGTGTACCTTAATCTTCAATTTATAAAATATTTCTTTGAAAGTTGTTATTGATCATTTCAAATTATCGAATACAAAAGTTTGGTATTTTAGTGTACAAGTATCAGCATCACTATACATTCCTTCACAAAATAATAATAATTTTAAATTAATCAGAGCTCTGATCTATAAAATAATTCGTTACAATAAATTCGATTTAATCAGAATTTTAAAACTAAATACGATTAGACAATTTCAAATTAATTGAAATATCGAGACTAAAAATAATTCATTACTGTAAATTCAAATTAATTAGAATTCTGAGATTGAAATGTAATTTTTCATTTTTCTACGGTAACACGATTTTATTTTTCGATCGATTAATAATTAAATTTTTTTAAAATTCTTCATGCAGCCGAGTTCATCCACACTTGCAAGAGGGATACCCCTGACCTGGGCAACTGTATGAAGAACAGTGTGGAGGATTTGCAACCGTACTTGAAGAAAGGAATTCCAGAATATAAAATACCAAGTTTGGAGCCATTGGTACTTGACGAGTTGGCAGCCTCGGCTGGTGATATCAAACTGGTGCTGAAAAACGTCACCATTCATAACGCCAGCAATTTCAAAATAATAAATCTGAAGTGAGTAGCCGAATTAGTATAAAAAATTCGAAAATAGACTGAAATTTGACAGAATTGAAAATTCATAAAATATCGTGGAACGAATTTCTCGGCTAATATATATAAATATTCAAATTTAATTTCACGGTTCGACATTTTTATTCCATGGTAAATTGAACATCGAGCCCTTTACTATTTTTATAGAATTAAATTAGAATTTTATAGAATTTAATATAGCGTTTACATCAAATTGTCTACTTAGATTTCGGAAAGGTAATTTAGTTAAGAAACTGGCAAAATTGACAAAATTAAATTTGCCAGCTGTCACTTTAGCGCAATTATTCGGCTCTGAGACGAGTTTCAGCGAATATTATGGAAGGTTGCGTCACAAGTCTCGTAAAACAAAGCTGGGTCTGTCATTATGTCAAATTCAACGGATAATGACACGTGCGCAGCGATGAACGACCTGCCTTGAAACGACATTCGGAAATGAAAATATCTAGTAGTGGTCAAGCATGTTCATGAAAGTGAAATCGAACCCAAGGAGAATCGAATTAACTCCGAATTTTCGAGAGAAATACACTTTTTAGGACAGTGATCATACTTCTTGCGATTAGCATCGTTTCGCCTAATTTATTTCGTTACAAAGATATGAAAAATCAATTTACCTGACAGTGAACGTACGTAAAATTATCGCATATCAAGAATATATCGAAAGTCGAACAATTTCTAAGTATTCAGGTATATTTTCACACTTCCTACTCTTTCTAATAATTTTTATTTCCCTCGTCTTGTCTTTAATTAAAAAATTTTCAAAATTTCGTTCTTCTTTCTTTATCTTCACAACGTTTCGTTATTTTCTCTCTTTTTCTAGATTTCTAAAATTCGTCTTCATTTTGTTTCTTTCTTTTCTCTATTTTCTTTCCTTATTTTCTCCTCGATTTATAATTCTTTGCCATTCGTCGTCGAACGTAATTTTGTTAAAAATAAATTGAGTCGCATAAATCTCGCACAGATTCATTTCTTAATAACCTGATCATTCAGAGATCTGATGGAACGTCGCTTATATGTCGGTAATAATTGATTCTTAAGTAAGTGAGTCATAAATAAATAAAAGAACGACGATGAACGAACAGTTCTGTCGTTTTGTATTCCGCGAGTGCGATTAGTATTGGCCGTGACACGAACTCCGGTGGTTCTAGATGGAAATAATTTGTATGGTAAACGTGACACGCGAATCGCAAGAAGTGTCAGAACCTATGGAAACCATACGGTGGAACGGAAACGATGAATGACAATGGCGTATGGATCATGCGATCTTTCATTGTTGCTTGTTCCTACCGTTTCAAACTGTTCTTAGGAAAAGAGAAAAAAAGAAAAAAAAATGCAAAATAGTCGAAAAATAATTTAAAAAAGTCGAAATTAATTAATCTCAGATATATGAATGTAGGGATCGGTTTGGGTGGATTGCCTAAAGTAGTGTTGTTTACTTCTTAATAAAATACAATAAGCTTATACGTAGACTGACGGCTATGAAACAAGAGGGATTCGCTATGGGCACGTTCGGCTTTGACTTCTTATTCACATACTGACACGCTATTAGCAATTTCCTAAAGACTCTTGAAGACCGTGAAGGACTGTAGACTGTTCATGACTGACGACTGTGTAGACTGGAGCTGCCTGCGCCCTTGCATCCTTATTTAAAGCATTCATGCCCAGGCTTTCCTTTCCAAACATGCCCCTTTCCCACGAAACCTCCGTGGGCCAGGTACTTCAATCACTCTGGACGCATCCCTAAACTTTCGCTCGACCCTACCATAAACATCCTTTACAGTTAATTCGCTTGCACGCGGTCACTTCTATCCTAAGCCCAAACACACTTGGAATTCTTTCAGGGCCGTACTTATTCCAATCCCACATGAATTTAAAATTAAATTGAGCAAACAGACTAGAAATTGAAATATTATGTCATTGAAAAACTTTTCAGAAGTAGCATTCGTTGAAAATACTCATGAAAGATATATTTAGAAAAAATACAGAGGGAAATACTCGTGAAGAATATATAATATTTAAAAATAATGTTCATCAAAAGTATATTTAACAGAGAGGAACTGGTAATTAGAGTATTTAATATTCAATTAGACTAATTGCCATCGAGATATAATTTAATTAAAATTTTACGAGAGGACTCTTAACTCCGCTTAAATCTCCACAGAGCCAATTTGTCGACCCTGAAATTTGCACTAAACCTGGAGCTGCCAAGTCTCCAGTTGACAAGCCATTACGACGTGGATGGCAAAGTGCTCCTCCGAATTCAAGGAAATGGTCCCATGGAATGCACCTTGAACGACTGCAAGGGAATAGTAAAGTTCCAATTTGAAAAGAGTCAAGGCGACGATGGCCAAACTTACCTGAAGCTGGTCGAGCTGAAGACCACGGTCTCCGTCGGATCTGGTAAACTGAATCTGCATAATCTCTTCAATGGCGACCAGGTCCTCGGCGAAGCTGTCAACTCGGCTATCAACGCCAACTTCGTCGCTTTCGAAAATGAAATAAAACCGGGCATCGAGAAAGGCATCTCGAAAAAGTTCACTAATATCGCAAACAGCATTCTTACGCAGTTCACCTACGACGACCTCTTCCCAGAGTCGTAAAGGTTCTCAAGCTTGTCTCAGGTCGATGGTACTCCTAACACCAATTGCAAGTTCGCCGATATCTTTTGCCCATTAGCAAGCACATTTGCAAAATAAGTTAGTAAAAGAAACTTCAGTATTTTTAACGATGGAACGATGATTTAGTTCAGGCATAATCATTAGCAAACACATTTGCAAATAAGTTAGTAAAAGAAACTTCAGTATTTTTAACGATGGAACGATGATTTAGTTCAGGCATAATAACGGCTAGCTTGGTGGTTAGGTTAATAATGGTACCTGGCGTGGTTCGGACAGGAACGTGGTCTGATTTTTGCTGACATACTTGTTAATTATGGTACTTTATATGGTACTCTGTTGGAATTTTATACGGAAACGAATGATTTCTCTTAGTTCCTCTGGTCAATCTTATCACGTCCGGTGAGTAGTTTAATAGAGACGCTTTTGGAGATAGTTACCATTTGTATTGTTGTAATTAATGTTTAGAGACGTAATGTTCTGCAGTAGCCATGCTTTGACATTTCGACGAAATTATTTTACAGTGAATCGTTCGTCGAAATGTTAATTGCAGGTATTTTTAATTGTCTTCTAGAGTATTGTGTGGAACGAAGAAACGAGTGTGCCAAATAAATTAATTAATTATGAATTTTGATACGCGTTTAGTTAATTACTCGGAAAAATTTGAGTTGTATTTTACTAATGTAATTCGATGCGTGGAAAATCGTATCACGAATTGATACATTTTACGTAACTTATCGTTTTACATATTTTGTTCGCGATTACTGGAAAGACCGACTAGCCTATGCTATGGATTCTCGTGTACGAGACAACTTCATGGCCCAGCATCCTTCCTATCGATCCTAGCCCACCTAAGTCGTCGCCGACCTCGCCACGACTTATTCGCGAACGAACGTGGTCGACGAATCAGCGATGATCGCGAGAACAAATATGTTCTATGTAAAAAACGAGGAGAGTAAGAAATAAAGAATGGAAAATGTATATATTCGCTCCAAGTTTGATGGTTAACCATTGTATTTTAGAACTACTATCCTATCTTACACCCACTTGGAACTCAACGCAGGCATCTCGCGTCGTCCAACGATATTTTCTATAAATAATAAAATTTTGAATAAAGAAATGAAAGCGAAAAGAATATAAACGACAAAGATTAACTAAATGGAACAACCCAATAATGAGACATAAGCATCACAACAATGAGATATAAATAAACCAACACCAAAACGTTAGAATATTATCTGAAATATTCTAATTGTTAAATAAGAATCAAAAGAAACGAAAAAATAAACTCTGAAAATAGAAAAATAATTGAAACCTGAGAAAATAGGAAACAATTAAAACCTGGAAGAAGAAAAATAATTAAATCCTGAAAGAACATAAATAATTAAAACCCATGAAAAAGAAAAAATATTAGAACCTAGAAGAACAAATAATAATTAAAACTTGTAAAAAGAAAAAAAATTAAAACCAGAAAGAAGACAAATAATTAAAATTTGGAAAAGGAGAAAATAATTAAGACTTGAAAAAAAGTGATTAAAATCTAAAAAAAGAAAACAATAATTAATACTTGGAAAAAAAATTATTATTAGTTTATTTAATAACCATCCAACCAACCTCTCACAATGTAGAAAATTATAATATTTCACTTCCGAAAATAAACCGACAAATGACTCCAG